GGCATCCTGTGAGTGTGGGGTGGGGGGGTAAGCGTCCTCTGTGTGTATATGTGTATGTGTGTGGAAGCGTCCCGTGTGTGTGTGTGTGTGTGTGTGTAGGCGTCCTGTGTGTGTGTTTGTGTTGGAGGGAGGCATCCTGTGTGTGTGTGTGTGTGTGTGTGTGTGTAGGCGTCCTGTGTCTGTGTCTGTGTCCTGTGTGTATGTTTGTTGGGAGGGAGGCATCCTGTGAGTGTGTGTGGGGGGGTAGGCGTCCTCTGTGTGTATATGTGTGTGTGTGTGTGGAAGCATCCTGTGTGTGTGTGTGTAGGCATCCTGTGTGTGTGTTTGTGTTGGGGGGAGGCATCCTGTGTGTGTGTGGGGGGTAGGTGGGAGGCGTCCCGTGTGTGTATATGGTGGGGAGGCGTCCCGTGTGTGTATATGGTGGGGAGGCATCCTCTGTGTATGTGTGTGTGTGTGTGGAGGCGTCCTGTGTATGTGTGTGTGTGTGGAGGCGTCCTGTGTATGTGTGTGTGTGTGTGGAGGCGTCCTGTGTGCCTGTGTGTGTGTGTGTGTGTGTGGTGGGAGGCGTCCCGTGTGTGTATATGGTGGGGAGGCATCCTCTGTGTATGTGTGTGTGTGTGTGGAGGCGTCCTGTGTATGTGTGTGTGTGTGGAGGCGTCCTGTGTATGTGTGTGTGTGTGTGGAGGCGTCCTGTGTGTGTGTGTGTGTGTGTGTGTGTGTGTGTGGAGGCGTCCTGTGTGCCTGTGTGTGTGTGTGTGTGTGTGTGTGTGTGTGTGTAGGCGTCCTGTGTGTGTGTGTGTGTGTGTAGGCGTCCTGTGTGTGTGTTTGTGTCCTGTGTGTGTGTTTGTGTGTGTGGAGGCGTCCTGTGTATATATGTGTGTCCTGTGTGTTTGGGGGGGTGTCCCATGGCCAGGCTTTCCAGGCTGTCACGTGGAGGTGGCAGGTGTCTCTTCCGAGGCTGCCCGTGCTCAGACCTGGGGGGAGGGCGCCCTGGGACGGGACCTCTTCTGCTGCCCTTTGGGCTCTCAGGCTTCTGTGCATCCCATGCCGAGGGCCTCCTGGGCTCTGTCCTTCCTCCCACACACCCTGATGTTTCCCTCTGCTCCTGGGATCACAAAGAAATGAGGCCTGTCCTCCGAGCCCCGGTTATCCGGCCCCTGGGACCAGCCTGCACCCCGACTCCTCCTGCAGGAAGGGTGCTGGCCCCTGAGCCCCCAAGCCCCTGCGTCTGGAGTCAGGGCAAAGTCAGGAGGGGCAGCTGCTTGGCTGGGCCCGAGTGGCCGCTGCCAGCTCCCACGAGGCAGCCCTGCCTTGGTGGGGTGAGTGAGGTGTGGTGGACACTGGCGCGTGACCTGACAAGGCCTCTCTGCCCCAGGTCACCTGTCACTCCCTGGACGGCCAGTGCCAGCTGAAGGTGAGGAGCAACACCTGCTACTGCTGTGACCTCTACGCCTGCGGGAGGTGAGAGGCACCGGGGACCCCATATCCATGCCTGCGGGAGGTGAGGGGCGCCGGGAACCCCCGTATCCACGCCTGCGGGAGGTGAGGGCGCCGGGAACCCCTGTATCCACGCCTGCGGGAGGTGAGGGCGCCGGGAACCCCTGTATCCACGCCTGTGGGAGGTGAGGGGCGCCGGGGACCCCCGTATCCAGGCCTGAGGGAGGTGAGGGGCATCAGGGACCCCCGTATCCATGCCTGTGGGAGGTGAGGGCGCCGGGAACCCTGTATGTGCCTGCAGGGGCAAGGCCCCCATCCTTCTGCTCCCGACATCACCCCCCATGCCCCTGCACCTACATCGTCTCCTTTACTCCTTAGATGTTTACATGAGGAAAGGACACTGAGTCCATTTCACAGATGAAAAGATGGAGGCTCTGAAAGGTTGATCTGCCCAAGAGGACACAGCCCGTGTGTCGGGCGAGAGTTTAAACCCGGCCCGGCCTCCTCTCGGGACAGGGGCCCGTGACCCCGACAGCCTTCCCATCCTGCCGTGAAGACAGAGATGGCTCAGACACCCGTCCTGCTGGGCCACTGAGGCGGAGGGCTGGCCTGCCAGGCCCAGTTGTCGCTCTTTGCCACTGTGGGCCCCAGGTGGGGAGCCTCACAGGCCAATCCCATCAAACGTAGGTTTGATCCCCCAGAGCAGTACAGGGACCGGTGCTGACTGGGCTCCAGCCCTGACTTCCTCCCCCAGCCTTGCAGGGCTCAGGTCCAGAGGACACCTGACCACAAGTTTAACTTGCGGGTGGTCACTTGCCTCGTGTGGTGATGCCACGATGCCCTCTCTGTGCAGCGCAGAGTCCTCGCCCGCCTACTATGAGTTCATCGGCGTCCGCGGCTGCCAGGACGTGCTGCACCTGTACCGCCTGCTCTGGGCCTCTGCGGTTCTGAACATCCTGGGCCTGTTCCTGGGCATCATCACCGCTGCCGTCCTGGGGGCCTTCAAGGACATGGTGAGGCCCCTCGGCGGGACCCCCACTGCTCACCGGGAGCCGGGCTCCGGGTCCATTTCCCCAGGGTGGGTTGGGGGATCCCTGGCCCTCACCTTACAGATGGGGCACTGAGGCCCACGTGTCTGCCGGCGGCGTGTGAGGGTGACAGCTGGTGTACACCGACTCACCTTGGGGCCGTCCTGTCCCAAGCCTGTCCCAAGAATCACCTGATTTAATCCTTGCCTCCCTGCTGAGGTGGGCACAACCCACCCCCGAGAAACAAAGTTCAGCTCCCAAGAGGGAGGCCCAGCCCTTGTGCACTAAGCTCCCCTTGTTAGCAACTGCCTGGGGCTTCAGACCGGGAGGTCTGGGCTGGGGCCGGGGCCAGTGCCTTCACAGACCCCAGAGGCGAGACCCATACGGCCTGGGCAGGAGGAGGGAGGGACGGGGCCCCTCGCAGGCGTTGGGCTGGACCTGTCCTGGAAAGGCCGGCCCTCGCCCGCCCAGGAAACCACAGGGAAATCACTGGCCTGGGCTGGCTGTCCTCTCCCTTCTCCCTCCTCTGCCCTCTCCTGGCACCTGTTTCGAACCAGATGTTCTGGTGGTGTGTGGCCAGCAAACCCGCCCCTGAACTCGCAGAGAAGCTGCAAGGGAGGGGCAGCCAGGAGTGAGGGAGCCCCACCCTGAGAACATCCAAACAGCAACCCAGGGACGAAGGGCATCCCCTCTTGCACCCACGCGAGGTGGCCGGGCAGCACCAGGCAGACGCACATCCTGCAGGCCAGACCCGGCCCAGTGTGGCAGTGACAGCACTCCTGAGTGGCTTCTCCATGCCCCATTCATCCCAGAGACTGCCCGTAACTAAAAAGTAACTCAGCTTGGAACCCTCCTGCCATCTGCTTCTCAGCTTCTCCTTTTCTCAGCACTTTCGTGCTTCCAGACAAAACTGGTGAAGCTGAGAGTGACCTTGGCATCCCGAGGTCCAGCCCTCTGGCTCCCCACCCAGTGGCCTCCCCAAGCCCCACCCTGGGCCCCCTGACGCCCGCACACCAACACAAGACAGGCACCTCCCAGGGTCCTTGCTCTGCAGTGACAGCTGGCCAGCCCCTGTGGGCTGGGGCCGGGTGGGAGCGGGAGTCTGGGGTTGGGAAGGGTCTCTGCTGGGGATCGTGCAGGCTCTGGGTGCCTTTGGTGTCTCCTCAGTTCAGGCTTCTCTGCCTCGGCGGCTCAGTGTCTCCCCTCAGTGACTGCCCTAGGAAGAACTGCAGCTGGATTGTAGACAGGACACAGAAACGCGCGTGTGGTGCAGGCGCCATGCTCGCCGCACAGGCCCGGGGTTTCCAGGGTTTTCCGGAAGTGGCTCGTGTGTTCATTAAAGCCGGTGATAAAATGCTGGAGTGCGGGATCAGGAACAGGAGATGCCCCAAGGGCCAGCCCACAACGCAGAGCCACCCCCAGCTCCGGGAAATCTTTCTCAAACCCAGAGCTCAGGGGTGTGCAGAGCAAGGAGGGGGCTTGCTAACCTTCACACCCACCAAGCAGGCACTCTTGTGACTTTAATTGATTCTGCCGTTTAAACATTTTGTTAAGGAACGAACATGCTTCCTTAGCCGTCACCAAGCGGGACGGCCCTTCTCCGTAGACGAGGGCAAATTCCTTGTGACGGGTGCATGGGAGGTGCTTAACGTGCTGGCAAGGGCAGGCAGCTGAGCCAGCCTCTCGGGCCTCCTCCACGAGTGACTCTGTGGCCCCCGTGTTCTCTGGTTTCTGTGCACTTGCCCTGGCCCCATCCTCAGGCCACCCCCAGCTCAGAGGCCTCCCCACCCCTCTGCCTGTCAGAACCTCAAATCTCCTGCTCCTCCCTCATGGAGCACGGACCCTCCATGCCCATCCACCTCCCAGGCCCACCTCAGCTACCTCCCTGCTCTCTGCAGGGTCTGAGGCAGAACCACAGCCTCCTGCACATGTAGACCAAGGACCAGCTGCCCAGAAGCCCCTGCCCCTTCCCACCCTCCAGCGCCCACTGGGCAGGGGGCTCCCTCCCAGCCCCAGGGGTACGGGCAGCGCTGTTTTCTATTTGAGGACACCTCAGGCCTGGGGTCATCACCGTGGCCCGGGGCCGTCACTGTGGCCAGACCCTTGCAGCAGTTCCGGCCTGGCTTCCCTGCCTGTGCCATCTTCCCCTGGCTTCCCTCCAGGGTGCTGCTGAACCCGGGGTTGAGGGCTGGGGGCTGGGGAAGGTGGAGGGGCACCTGTGTGAAGGTGGGGAGGGAGGCGAGGCCTGGGTGCCCTTGGCCCAGTCCCCGTGTTTCTGGCCCTGGAAGCCCTGGAGCTTGTGTGAGCCGTGGGCCCCTCCCTCTGTGGGGGATGAGGCCGGCTGGGGCCTGAGTTGGAGCTGGCACCTTCTTTGGAGAATTTTAACTGCCTGAGTGGGTCAGTGGAAGTGTGGATGGGAGCTTAGAAGGCTTTGGTTTTGTTTGCATTCCCCAGAAACCCCGCGCTGGTCGGGTGCAGGCTTGGGGAAGCGAGAGCTGTCAGCCCGATGCTGAGAGGACCTTCCTCACCTGCACCCTTCTGTGCCGAAAAATCAGACTCTGGGGCCCGGAGAGAAGGAAACCAGTGCTATTTTTCCCAAAAAAATATTAAGTAAAAAAGAGCCTGAGCTAAGCAGTCACCCGGTGTGACTGGCAGGTGGCAGGGCCCTGGGAACAAGATGTAGAGAACCTGAGTATAAAGACACGCTCGGCCGGGGTTAGCTCCAGCCTGAGAGGCGGGGTCAGGGGTGCTGGGCTTTCTAGGAAGGCTGGACGGCCTCTCCCTCCACTGGGGGGTGCACATTGACCGCCCGTCTCCTCTCCGTGGCAGGTGCCTCTGTCCCAGCTGGCTTACGGCCCAGCCGTCCCACCGCAGACCCTCTATAACCCTGCCCAGCAGATCCTGGCCTGTGCAGGCTTCCGCCCGACGCCCGAGCCCGTCCCGACCTGCTCGTCCTACCCTCTGCCCCTTCAGGTAGGGCCAGCGTCACCTGCTGGAGTTGGACGTGCTGGTTGCAGGCAGTGGGGTGGACAGGACGGGGCTGGGGTCAGAGGGGATGAGGTCTTGCAGCCGCCTCACCTTCTGAATTAGGGATGGGAGGTGGGGGGCAGTAACAACCCGGCCGTTGGGGCACAACGTCCCTGCAAGTATGGCCGGGGACTGCGCCAGGTGGCCCTGGTGACCCGCCACCATGCTCTGCCGGCAGCTGGCTCTTCTGACCCCGGGACTGGCCCTGCACAGGCCTGGGCAGCTCCCACTGCAGTGTGGAGGCTCCTGTGTGTCTGCTGGTGGACGTCCTGGGGGCACAGCCAGGTTATTTAGGTGGAGCCATATGGATCTGCCGGAATCCAACTCCATTTTACCTGTAGACGTGGAGACCTCATAGGGTTCATCCTGACATGATGCTGTTGACCTTGGGGACAATGGAGGGAGAGGCCACGGTGGCAGGCGAGCAGAACAGTGGCCTCTACCTGCCTGTCCCATTTCCACTCCTGGGCATGACCGCCTTCTGTGCCACGAAGCTCTGTCCTGTGGCCACGGGTGAAGCAGACCCCGATTATCCAGCATCACGACAACGACCGGGCCGTGTTTCTTACCTCGGCACTGCAGGCATTCGGGGTTGGCCACCCGCCATGCTGGGGCACCCTGGGTGCTGGGGTGCTGGCAGGCCCTGGCCTTTGCCTGCAGCATGTAGCAGCCGCTAGTGTCACAACCCAAACTGTCTCCAGACGTGCCCTGTGCCTCCTGCCTGGATGTGCCACGTTCCCCCTGGGGACACATTTGAGAATCCCTGGTCCTGATAAACCTGGGTTTCCTTTCTGGGTGGGAGGCACGGCCCACACGCCCGGCTGACTGGCAGGTCATTTTGCGTGCGTTAACAGCAGCCTCTGCAGAGAAAGCTGTGTCAGGCCCAGCCCGACGAAGCTGCAGATCGAAGCACCACCGTGTTGTGTTTCTGTGCGGGGAAGGGCAGGGTGAACGTGGAGGGTCGTTAGTTCTGAAGTCACGCATGACACAGGTCTTCGGATGTTCCGCAAGGAGGCCTGCTCCCAACCCGTGACGTTGGCAGGAAGGAGACATTCCTCAGAGTGACGTCCGGGGGAGGCGTGTACACACCCCACCCTCACGTCCAGGACAGGGCTCAGGTTTGAGCTGGACCCGAGAGCCACGACCTTCTCAGTTCACCCCGGGGACCTGCGCCAGGGACCCCGTGGAGGGAGCGGGAACCGGCACTCATGGAGAGGGGGCTGCTGGGGGTCCCTGGCGTCCAGGGCCTGCTTGGGGCAGCCGCCTTCAGTCCTGCCCAGGGCACGGCAGCTTTTGGGCTCAGTGGGGACAACCAGGGCCCCAGCCTGACACCATCTCCTCGTGGAGGGATCCCTGCACCCCGTGCCGCAGTCTTCTCTCTCACTTTGAATATGAAGCTGGGGCCCTGCTCCCTGGGAACACAAGGGCCCTGCCGGAGGTCTGGCTTGGAAGTATCTTTTCCATTTCTGTGATGGGGAAGATGTGGTCCCCAGGGTCAGAAGATGGCGGGAGCTTTTGCCAGTGACCCTGCGGTGGTCTTTCCTGTGGGCGGGCGCGTCTGCATGGTGCTACAGGCAGCTTCATCCTCCCCCAAGCCTCCTGCCCCTGCCCCAGGGACGTCCCCATCACGGCAGGGACCATGTCCCCCGGGGCCACAGCCTTGTCCTGGGGGCTTCTCTCTGGCCTCCTGGTCTCCCGTGGGAAGTTTGCCAAGCCCAGAGCTGGAGGCCCGCAGGGGCAGGGGTATCTCCAGGGACACTGGGCTGGCAGGTGCTCCCCAAGCGGCTCTGCACAGACCTGGACTTGGAATCGCATAGGTGCCAAGAACTTGCAGCCCAGAGCACAGCCTGGGTGGCCCAGCCTGTCTTCCATCCTCAACCTCAGCCGCCGCCCCTTGGGGCCCCAGAGGAGAGAGAATGCGTGGTTCCATCAGCCGCTTCCTCTTGTCTGGCTCCAGGGCTGGTTTGGGCTGCCCTGGTGCTGGGGCCCGGCTGTCTGAAGCTCTGGCTGTGAGGGGCCAGGCTTCAAGTTTGCATTCTGACTTGGGACCTTGGAGACAGCGAGGCTTTGTGGGGGGAAGGGGTGGTGACTCCCTCAGGCAGGTGCATCCTCCCTGCCTGTGAGCCCCACGGAGGTGTCAGATGTGGGGGTGGTCCTCCCCGTCACACGCGGGCTTACGGGATGTGGGGGGCGGTTCTCCCTGTCACACGCCGGCTTAAGGGGTTGTGGGGGTGGTCTCCCCGTCACATGTAGATTTACGGGATGTGGGGGCCGTCCTCCCCATCACACGCTGGCTTACGGGATGTGGGGGGCGGTCCTCCCCATCACACGCCAGCTTAAGGGGTTGTGGGGGGTGGTCTCCCCATCACACGCAGGCTTACGGAATGTGGGGGGCGGTCCTCCCTGTCACATGCCAGCTTAAGGGGTTGTGGGGGTGGTCCTCCCCATCACACGCGGGCTTACGGGATGTGGGGGATGCCAGGGAGGATCCACTTCATCCCCATGGTGCTCCATCCTCATCCACCCTGGAGCTCTGGCTTTGCACAGAGGGTGGATGTTCCCCTCTTCCTCTGGGGAGGCCTGGGGCCCTCGGATGGCCCAGCCAGCCTCTGTGCCAGCGTGTGTGAGAGCTTAATATACACACGCTGATCATCGGATTTCAGAGATGGCAAATCAGATGAGGCTCACGTGCTCCTCAGAAGAACAACAGAGGAGGGGCTCTGCTTCTGCAGAGATGGAGAGAAAATGTGCAGTGTGTTCCATGGAAGTCGTTAGCAGCAGAAAATACTCCCACTTGAGACTGGAGAGGGGGGTGGGAACAGTGACTTGCGGGTTGTTTTGAGCAGTTAATAAAAAGGGCAATTTAAAGAGATCACCTACCTTGCACCCAGCAGCTTTGCCAGGCGTGAAGTGCAGGCAAGGATGTGGCATCACAGCAGAGGATGAGTTCCTGCCCCGTTACTGAGACACGTGCCCTCCCTTCCCCTGTGAGATTGTTTGTGGGCGGGGCTTGTCCGTTCAGTGGTTAACCATGTGGTCCTGGGGTTTGCTCCGTGGTTCCTGGTGTGGGGAGGGGTTACTCTGTAGTTCTGAGAGTTTTGCTCCATGGTCCTGGGGTTTACCCCTCAGTTTCCTTGACTGCTCATCTGCTGTGAAGAAGAGTGGGTGCTATGGAGTTGGAAGTTGGCAGTTCCCAGCAGACTTGAGAGAATGTTCCCTAGTGTCTCACTCTCGCCTGTGGCCAGAAACCTGTGAGTTTTGGGGGAAGAAAGAAATGAGGTTGGCAGGTGTCCCTGAGCCACTGGATCCCATGAGCCTGGGCTATCAGCCTCAACATCGCAGTTCCTCTGAGCAAGGGCCCCATTCTCAGCCTTACCTACACCTGTGCAGAAATTCTGCTGTCAGGATCCAGAGGTCCTGCTAGCTCCCAGGGCGTCTGCAGTGCAGAGCTCTCCAGGGAAAGAGACAGGCAGCTGGCTTCTCATGGGGCCCTGCAGGCCAGGGCAAGAGGAGCATAGAGCACATCTGGTAGCTTGGAGTTTAAAAAACTCTTCCTGTGTTATTTCTTAGGAGTTTGTTTGCTTTATTTAAAATTTGATTTCAAGATAGAGTTTTTTAGCCCCTAGAATTTAGGGCGGGGGGAAGAACTAAGATGTGTGTTGGCAGTTGGAGAAAAGCTAGAATGTATCGATTTAAAATCTGTTCCTCGCTTTTCCGGTCTCAGAATTACTTGAGTGGGTCTATGTGTGTTAGTCGGGGCTCTCTAGGGAAGCAGAGCCTATGGGGAATACAGGTACCTACATGTGAAGAGAGAGATCAATCCATCGATTCTGAATGACTGGCTGGCCACTGTGGGGCTGCAGGTGCACAACCACAGGAAGGGGACAGGCTGGACCAGGGAGGGTGACGCTGCCTCGGGAGTGCCCAGGCCGCTGGGGCAGAGTCCACTTCTCCTGGGGACCACAGCCTCTTTCCTTAAGGCCTTCAGGGGAGAGGAGGGGCCGTCCGTGTCCAGGGGCTGAGGCGCTGTATGCAAGGGTGTCAATCACACCTGAAGACGCCTCCACGGCAACCCCCAGATGTGTGTGTGAGCCGCTGAGTCAGCCACGGTGACACTGAACCGGCCACACACTGCTGGACGTGTGGACGCGTGGGGTTCATACGTGGGGCCTTTCCTGAATATGAAGTGTTGGGTGAGCCCAGGGCCCTGGGCCTGGTGGCCCCTGACTGTCGGTTTTGGAGTCAGGTCAGAGGCTCGCTGTCTGCGAGGCAGCGGGATGTGGTCTGGGCACACCCTTCCTGGGGCATCTACCCCCTCCCCGTCCAGCTGTGGAAGCCAAGGCTGTGCCAGTGAGGCCCCGGCCACCCTCTCCTGTTGTGACCAGGGCTGGAGCTGCTGCATCCAGCGGTCCTGGATCTGTGGGGAGGGGGCCCGTGTGAATGGCCCTGGGTCTGTGGTGGGGGAGGGGGGCCTGAGAGTGGCCCTGGGTCTCTGTGTGTGTGTGGGGGGGGGCCTTGTGAATGGCCCTGGGTCTGTGGGGTGGGGGGGAGGGTGTGTGAATGGCCGTGGGTCTGTGTGTGTGTGTGTGGGGGGGGGCCCGTGTGAATGGCCCTGGGCTGGTGGGGGTGGGGTGCACGTGTGAGTGGCCCTGGTCTATGTCAGGCTTCCCTGCGGTCCAGCACGGGGTGGTCTCACCTGCTAACCCAGGGCCCTCTGTTTATTGCAGCCCTGCAGCCGCTTCCCAGTCGCGCCCGCCTCTGCCCTGGCTTTGTCTGAGGACCTGCAGTCCCCCTCTCCAAGCAGCTCTGGCTCTGGGCTTCCTGGCCAGGCCCCACCGTGCTACGTACCCACCTACTTTCCCCCAGGGGAGAAGCCACCCCCGTATGCACCCTGAGAGGTGTGGAGTAAAAGAAAAAAAAAAAAGGCAGCCTCTAGAAATCCCGCTTCTGTGGCCAATCTCCTAGAGAACCCAGGAGAGTGTTCCGGAAGTCTGTCCCCTGCTTCCCTCCCTGGGCACACTGGTGAGGGAGGCTGGGACCAGGCAGGGAGTGGGGCCCTGCAGACCCAGGCTGGTGACACCTCGGCTCAGGCTCTGCTCACACCACCCGGCCGCCTCCTCTGACAGCGATTGTTCTGGTGTTTTCACATCCCTTAGTTAATTAGCTGCTATTATGATTCTGCAAAGAAGGTGCGGCTCCGTGCCTCCCTGCGTGTGTGTTCCTGTTTGCGGACGTGTGTTGTGCGTTACACATTCACGCGTGCGTCTGTGTCCTGGAGAAGGGCAGGGCAGGACCCACCCGCCCCGCGTGCTGTGCCCCTGACATATGCCAGGAAGGGAACGACGCTTCGGCTCCCACGCCCGGCGCTGTGTCTAACCGCCTGCGAGTTGCCAGAGTCTGGGGGCCCAGTTATCCTTCCCAGCCCTGGGCGCAAATCTGCCCGGGCCACTGGCGCGAGGGTCTCCCCCTGAGCTGTCTCCCAGCTACGGCACCTGGACTTCTGCTGTCCTTCCGCGGCGGCTCCCTCACCGCAGTGTCTCAGGAGGGGATAGTGGGGGAGGGTGTTTCGCGGTCCCTCGGCTCAGGGTCTGGGGCCGCAGCGCTGCCTGTGGAAACCAGCCCTGCTCCCCGCGGGCCCAGCATGCGCCCTGCCAGGCACACCTGGGGAGACAGGTGAGCGCGCCTGGGAAGAGGCAGGTCCCCGGTGGGGCCCAGGCGCCCCAGTGACTGGAGTTCAGGATGCGCCACCCCAAAGTAGCCAGAGTCTCTTGAAAAGCGGTGGATGTGGGGAGAGGCTCTCAATTCCTGACGTCAGATCCTCAAGGAACCACGGACTCCCCGGGGCGCGGGGGAGGCGAGAGGCGCTCCCACTGCTCCTCAGACGCACCACAAGACACCGAGTCGCCGCCTCTGCTCCGTGGGCTGCTCACACTTCCCCCGTCACTCCCTCTCCCCTCGGAAGCTGGCGCCCCAGGGCCTCACGTCCCTCCCTTCAAAGCCCCACGGTGTCTGCAGTAAACAGGTACCACTCTTCTCCTGGGTGAGTCTGAGGTCTCCAGCTTGTTTCATGGAACAGCACCCGCCTGGGAGCTGGAGCGGGGACTTTCGTCCCTGCCCAGTCCTGGGTCTGGGAGAAAAAAGATACGGGAGCCACGCTCATGCAGACACAGGCTCCTGCCCCCTCCGCTGCCCGGGAGCCTCCCTCTGTCCCCCTCTGCCCGACGGTGGGTCTCAACCTGTGTTCAGTGCTCCTGGGCAGAAGGCCCGCAGCGCACATCCACGCACAGACGGTGCCCAGCCAGGCCCAGGGGCGCCAAAGGGCCTCTGAAAGGCCTGCAGCCAGCTCTGGTCTGTGAACCCACCACTGCTTGTCATTTTTATTTTATAAATCCAGCCTCACCCACTTGCTTTCCAGGAGAATGTGGTCTTGGCCTCTCCTCAGGGCTGACTGGCCTTGGATCAGTCCAGGAGGTCAGGCATGAGCCGGAGGCGCTGCGTCCCGTCTGGAAACTCACCGCCAGGTTCCTCCAGGGCTGCAGGTGCCTGGCTCCGACTGAGAAGCTGAACAAGCAGCAGAGACCAGGAGGTTTCTGGAGCGCCGGGAGAGGCACTCAGCTGCGCCTGGGGAGGTGAAAAGTGTGCCATGGATTTCCCGAGTCCCCGAGGCTCTCGTTTTACCTCGGGAGGCTCTATGGGCGCTGACGGTGCCGTGGTCTTGTGTGGGCGGTTCTCTGTGGCCTGGGCACTCTGGAGCTCGGCCTGTGCCCCCGAAGCTGCCTGGTGCAGGCCCCAGGGCCTCTTGTTCTAGGGGTACGAAGAGCAGAGAAGCTGAACTGCAGGTCTGGGCAGGCAGCCTCTGCCCCCTGGAGCCCTGGCCAGCAAAGTCACAGGGATAACCATCGTTCCCTCATGTCAGCCCTCGGTTGCAGGGTGCAGTGTGGGGGCATCAGAGTGCTTCCCCGAGGCCGCACGCACCAGCGTCCACCAAACACAACGTCCATCTTCCCTGACTTTTAATCTTGTCTACAGTCAAAAGCTGTTCAAAAATATTCAACTCCAAGGTCAACAATTTTGTTCTTGCCACAAAAATGTCCTTATCCTTTACCCCAGCCACAAAGAATGTGAACAATTTGACTTAAGGCTGGTGGTGGCCGGAGGGTCCTCCAGGCCCCAGGGCAGCTCCCACCCGGCACAGGGCTCCGGCCAATGCCTGGCCTGCAGTGTGGGCGGCGGCTGCTCTCGAGGTGCACCCGTCTGGTGGACGGAGCCTGTCTGGGGCCACCAAGCTCTGCTGGCCTAAGTTACAGTCTGATGAACCCCTCCCTGGGCTCCGCTGGGGCCTCCTAATCCCAGCCTCCTCGCAGCCTCCCCTGGAGGGATGGGCCCCCAACTCTGCCCTCGCTCAGTTCCCACGCACAGCCGAGGCCAGGGAGACCCTGGAGGCCTCGGGAGATGGGGTGGAGGGGATGGTGGGGCAGGGGGTGCTGGGTGGTTTGGGGGTGCTGTGGTCCCACCTGCACGCCCTACCTCACTGGGTCACAGAAGAGACAGGCTTCTCCTGCAGCTCAGAGGTGGGGCCTGATGCAGCTGCAGGTCAGGCCTGGGAAGGGCGGGGTCAGAACATTGCCCTGGGCAGGGCTCAGCTGAAACTGGCCCCACCCTTATTAGCTTGAGACCTTTGGTTACAGAGAGCCTCCTCCTGCCTCAGTTTCTACATTTCACACAGCAGCCCACTCACTAGAGCCCCCAGTCAGAAGCAGCCCAAATGCAACTACTGAGTGGGGGAGGGATGTGGTCCGTCCACATGGGCCACCGGCCATGGAGAGGGGAAGGGACCTGGGTGATAGGGTTTGGCTGTGCCCCCACCCAAATCTCAAATTGCATCTCCCAGAATTCCTGTGCGTTGTGGGAGGGACCCAGCGGGAGGTAATTGAATCATGGGGGCTGGTCTTTCCCGTGCTATTCTCGTGAGAGTGAATAAGTCTCACGAGATTTGATGGGATGATCAGGATTTCCGCTTCCGTTTCTTCCTCGTTTTCGCTTGCTGCTGCCGTGTAAGGGGTGCCTTTGGCCTCCCACCGTGATTCTGAGGCCTCCCCAACCATGTGCAACTGTAAGTCCAATTAAACCTCTTTTTCTTCTCAGTCTTGGGGAAGTTTTTATTAGCAGCATGAGAACTACAGTGGCCCATCCACACACGGGTCACCCGGCCACGGAGAGGAAGGAAACTCTAACGGGTGCTATGGGGTGAGGCTGTAACACATGTTGCTCAGGGAAGGACACCAGACACCAAGACTCTGTTCTGTTTATATGCAGTGTCCAGAGCAGGCGTGTCCAGAGCAGGCGTGTCCAGAGCAGGCGTGTCCAGAGCAGGCGTGTCCACAGACAGAAGCCGACTGGGAAAGGAGGCGCAGGCACTCACTGCTCACGGACACGGGTTCTTTCTGGGGAGACAAGCGTGTTCTGAGCATGTTCTGGATGGGGAGAGGTGCAGTCACTGCTCACAGACACGGGTTCTTTTTGGGGAGACAAGCGTGTTCTGAGCGTGTTCTGGATAGGGAGGGAGGAGCAGTCACTGGTCACGGACACGGGTTCTTTTTGGGGAGACAAGTGTGTTCTGAGCGTGTTCTGGATGGGGAGAGGTGCAGTCACTGCTCACAGACACGGGTTCTTTTGGGGGAGACAAGCGTGTTCTGAGCGTGTTCTGGATGGGGAGAGGTGCAGTCACTGGTCACGGATGTGGATTCTTTTAGGGGAGACAAGCGTGTTCTGAGCGTGTTCTGAATAGGGAGGGAGGTGCAGTCACTGGTCACGGACGTGGGTTCTTTTAGGGGAGGCAAGTGTGTTCTGAGCGTGTTCTGGATGGGGAGCGGTGCAGTCACTGGTCACGGACACGGGTTCTTTTCGGGGAGGCAAGCGTGTTCTAAGCGTGTTCTGGATGGGGAGAGGTGCAGTCACTGGTCAGGGATGTGGTTTCTTTTCTGGGAGGCAAGCATGTTCTGAGCGTGTTCTGGATGGGGAGGGAGGTGCAGTCACTGCTGTCAGACACGGGTTCTTGTGGGGAGAGGAGTGTCGGGGAGCCAGATGGAGGTGACGGGTGGACGGCCCGGTGGATGGATTGACTGCCGACCAGTGCCCTGCACTCATGAGGCGTGGCTATTGCCGTGTGAATCACATCTCCATGGAAACGGGGGTGGGAGAACCAGGCCCCAAGGCTGTTGTGAAGATGGCCTTATGGGGCTGCATTGGCGCCTCGGGCAGTGCTGACCGCCGGCCGTGCTCGGTGAACAAGAGCCACGGTCATCACCCTTGCCACGCAGAGCAGCTCCTTCTGCAGACTTGGGGACCCTGTGGCCACCAGGCCCCACGGTGGGAGCAGAGTTACCTCCGAAACTCCGGAGACCCACAGGCAGAGGAGGATTCCATGAGGCCGGGGCCCGTCAGCAGATCCTCAGACGGCAACACACACCACTTCCCTTTCTGTTTCCTAGACCTTTAACTGATGGAATTCAGTAAGCGGAAAACATGCTTGACAAGGGCACCATGGAGCGGACCTTCCCCTCTGCCTCGTGGAGGGCTCGACCCTGGGGCCGGTGACCCTTCTCGCTTTGCAGGCAGGGGCTGGAGCTGGAGCTTCCACAAACAGGCCAGGCTGGGATTAGCCCGGCTGTACATTCGCTTTACGCTTCCGTTGGCATTTAGATACCCGATGTTCATATTTTCTGTATTACGTGAAGTAGGAGGAAACGTTCCTTTGTGCTTAGAGCAGTGTTTCCACAGAGGTGCGGGGCCCAGGGCACAGCAGCCAACCTCTGCAGACATTTCGTGTTGTCATGAGGCGGAGTGTCCAGGAGGGGGCGCTGCTGCATCCGCTGGGCACAGGACACGGCCAGATCAAAGGACCCCACCTGCAAAACACATCCCAAGCCTCCCTCCTCCTCTCCAGCCCAGAGTCAGGGCTGTCCCTCCTCCCTCCTGCGACACATCCCTCCTCCCTCCTGCAACACATCCCTCCTCCTTCCACAGGACATGGGCAGGGCCGTCCCTCCTCCCTTCATAGGGGACATCCCTCCTCCCCATATGGGGAAATCTCTCTCTTCCCTCCATGGGATGCAGTAAGGGCCATCCCTCCTCCCTGCACGGAACACATCCCTCCTCCCTGCACGGAACAACACATCCCTCCTCCCTCCTGGGACACATCCCTCCTCCCTCCTGGGACACATCCCCCCTCCCTGCACGGGACACATCCCTCCTCCCTCCAGGGGACACATCCCCCCTCCCTCCTGGGGACACATCCCCCCTCCCTCCAGGGGACACATCCCCCCTCCCTCCAGATGACACATCCCCCCTCCCTCCTGGGACACATCCCTCCTCCCTCCACGGGACACATCCCTCCTCCCTCCTGGGACACATCCCTCCTCCCTCCAGGGGACACATCCCTCCTCCCTCCTGGGACACATCCCTCCTCCCTCCACGGGACACATCCCTCCTCCCTCCAGGGGGCACATCCCTCCTCCCTCCAGGGGACACATCCCCCCTCCCTCCATGGGACACATCCCTCCTCCCTCCAGGGGACACATCCCCCTCCCTCCTGGGACACATCCCCCTCCCTCCTGGGACACATCCCCCCTCCCTCCACGGGACACATGGACACATCCCTCCTCCCTCCACGGGACACATCCCTCCTCCCTCCAGGGGACACATCCCTCCTCCCTCCAGGGGACACATCCCCCCTCCCTCCATGGGACACATCCCTCCTCCCTCCAGGGGACACATCCCCCTCCCTCGGGACACATCCCTCCTCCCTCCAGGGGACACATCCCTCCTCCCTCCAGGGGACACATCCCCCCTCCCTCCTGGGACACATCCCTCCTCCCTGTATGGGGAACTCTCTCCTCCCTCCATGGGATGCAGTCAGAGCCATCCCTCCTCCCTGCATGGGACACTTCCCTCCTCCCTCCCCAGGGCGCCCACACTAGAACCACGTGCTCTGTCTTCCCGTCCTCTTGCACACCCCACACATGCCTGGTCGTGGAGGGTGCCAGGTCGCCAACGTGACAGGCCTGGCTGGGCCTCTGTGTGGCAATTCCTAGCACCATTGGTTTTGCTTCTTTGGGACAGTGGTTATTATAACTTCTGGCACCCCTGGAACTCTAAGAAAACAATACCAGGAAACAGAAGTTCCTGATTCCTCTGGGGCCAGAGCAGAAACCCAGGCGGAGGGTTTTGTCCTGAGAACACTGGTGACTGTGGCCTGTGTCTGTGGGGACCTCACCACGTCCCCGTCCCCGAGGCTGGCTGTTGCCTGTTTTTGCTCCTGGCTGTCTTCACCTGGGGAGGATGGAGGCTGGGCAGGAGCAGGCTCCCAGCCAGCCGGGGAGAATTTGGGGAGAGCACTGGGGGACCCACCAATGTGATCTGATGGACAATGCAGTACCAGGCTGGGGGCTGGATCCTAGCGTGCGGCTGTGGCCCCTGTGGCCGTGCGAGGCCGTGTGGTGGGCAGTGCAGGGCTCTCCTGGGCCTCAGGGAGCTGTTTCACGGGCTTCTTGGAGCTCTGGTCAGCTGGCTCTGGACCATCGGGGTCAGATGAGTGGGCCTGCTCAGTGAGCCGTCAGCATCCACGCCTGAGCCCTCCTGGAACTGGGCTCCTGTGCTCCAGATGGGCAGATCCAAGCCCTGGACTCTACCATCCTCAGCCAACCAGCACCTGGGCACCCTGGAGCCAGTGTGGGGGCCTCGGGTCCCCGACTGTGTGAGCAGCCAGTGGCCACCTGTCCTGGCCCGAGGGGAGAAAGCGCGTCTGCCTGCGGAAAGTGCACATGCTGCCGGGCGAGGCTGGTGAGGGCCGTCACACGCTGCCGGGCGAGGCTGGTGAGGGCCGTCACACACACGCGGGGCCGCTGGCTGCAGATGGACGTTTCTGAAAGGAGCCAGTGGGAGCCTGGTGTCTGCCCTCTGAGGTCAACGCTTCCCCCGTCACTATTTTCTCACAGTACCGATGCGAAAGTTCCCTGCAGTACCTCTTAGACTAGGTTTAAGTCCTGAATTCAGGCTGCAGCCCTGAGTCAATGGAACTTTTACCCAGATGCTGCCAAGATTTTGGGAAGAACAACAGGCCCTTCCCCGGCGTGTCCAGAGCAAGTGGCGTCATGTCCACGATGGCACAGGGTCGTGGGATGTGGCCCGAGGAGCTCAAAACTGGCATTGGTCAACAAGAGCCCCAGAGACACAGGGTGGGTCTGCCAAGGACCCTCAGGGACCACCAGGGCCTGGAGGCTCCAGTGTGGATGAGCTGGGCAGCTCTGGCCAGCAGGGGCTGGGGCCCCAGGGCCAGGGCGCTGTGCATGGCCCCTGGGAAGGTGCCTGGCTGGCCGTCCATCCGTGGGGTGAGCTCGGCCCAGGCGGGCAGGGTCCCTCCAGGTGGGCGTGAGTGTTGCTGGCTCCCGAAGCCTTGGAGAAGCTCTGCCCATTCCACAGCCGTCAGGCCAGGGGCCACTCCCTCAGGAGCCCACTCGGTCGATGCCACCTTGTCAGTCCAGCCAGCGGGGCCTCCCGTGTGGCCTTCAAAGCCACAGGCCTCTTTCTAGAAACCTCTTTGCAGTTCATTTGTGGTGATTTATCCCTGGACGGGTTCTCAGGATTCTGTCCTTCTCCACCCGGCTTTTCTCTGGGTCAAGCGCTGACCCCAGCCAGGCAGAGGCGAAGACGCCCCGACACACAGCCTGTCCTGCCCGGTGGGCGCAGCTCCGGGACTGACTGGTGGGAGGTGTGGCTGCTCCGAGCTGCCCTGTGTCTCCCGCCCAGGGAGTTCCAAGCACAGGTCGGGGTTTGGTCTTAAAGTGAAATCCCAGTCTGGGTCTCACATGCTGAAACCATCCCTGGTCCCCCGTGTGGCCCCTGCAGTGGCAGCACCCGCCCTGGGGACCCACGTTTGGCCCAGACAGAGGCTGTAGCACAGGTGGCCACGTCCCACGGGAGCATCAAGCCACGAGTCTTGGTCGTCCCCTTGGGACCAAGGAGAAGCAGCCACTCCGTGGCCCCCACTCCATGGCCCCCACCAGCTGCGGCTCCAGCATCCTTCCAGGAGGCAGGCAGGGTCCCGACTGCATCTCAGGCACCTGCCTCGCGGCGTTCGGCTGCCCCAACCTCCCCTGCGGACTCGTGGCCTGCTGGGGTCAGAGAGCAGCAGTGACCGCTCCACCCCTTGCAGACAAGGAAGCTGAGGCTGAGGGACATGGGGACCCTGCCAGAGAGGACGCGGGAAGCGGGGCTGGCTCTGCTCCCGGCAAGCTCTACCGCAGACTGAGACACACAGAAAGCAGCGTTTCCCTTTCTCAACAGAACACGCTTGAGCCCCGGAAGCAAGTGGGTCTGTGCAGGAGGGTGGGGGCGGGATGGCACATGGGTGCAGGTGCCGCCTTGGCGTCTTCCCGCCCTCGGTCCCAGCTCGGGGTCTCTTCCAGGCTGGCTCAGAGGCCGCTGTCCGAGCAGCCTGCGTTTGTGTGCCAAGTCCTCACCGTGCCCTCCTCACTCGGCACTGACTGGCTGCCCGTGGTGGGGGCCGAGCGGGGCTTTCTCCCCATTTGCAGAACAAGTAAACTGAGACTCCAGCCCCTGCCCTTACTACCAGCGTCAGAGGCTCCCGGGGAGCAGACCATGGCCACCCAACCAGGCTGGGAGCAGAAAAGAGAGATCTTTGGAGTGGCTGAGCGTACAGCCTGGAGCCCTGGCAGCCCCGCTCATCCCAAATGCTGCCAGGTGCCGAGAACCCCGCGGGGAGCAGATGGCGGCCAACGCAGTGTTACAAAGCTTTCTGTAAATATTTTATTTTCCATATTTTAGAGTCAGAAAGAAGCGCTTGGTAATAAAAATAATAGAGAATTATTTTCTTCGAACCCGCTCTGCCCTGCGCCGGCCTCCCCGTGCCCGGGCCTGCGGCTGAGTGCACGGCGTCAGAGGCCCCACGTCCATCTCACTATTTACAGATATGTTACAGGCCAGGACGGTCACAGAGGAAAGCCCAGCTCTCAGGTGGCCCCACGTGGTGAGGAGCCCCCATGCTCCTCCGCTGTTTCGGACAGAGGCTGAGGAGCCTGCTGCGTCCCATGGGGGCCTAGGCTGCGGTGGGCTCCACGGGCGGGCAGGAGTGGGCGGTGATGTCACTGTGCTTGTATGCCGCCTCGTCCAGGTCCAGCAGCCTCCGGTTGACCTCCAGTGTCATGCAGCCGCGGTAGAATGCGGTGACTGGCGCTGAAGTCAGCGGCACATCTGGGCCGCGGGGAGAGAACAAACACATCTTAGCAGACCCAGCCTGGGTCCCAGGGATCGCCGCGTGGCCGGCCCTGCCTGGTCCCCCACCCCCGGCAGCACTTGTGGCCAGCCCTGGGTTTCCTCTGAAAGGGCAGGATTTCCCTTTCTTCTCTGACTTCTGTCCCTGTTTGTTCGGCTGCAGACCCGGCAGACAAGTAGGAGGCATCCGCCAGCCTGGGCTCTGCAGACGCCGGCCCTCCCTTCCCCGCCGGGAGCACAGACAGTCCCATCGATTAAACGCGATCTTCTTCTTTGCCCGGTGAGTCATTCAGGCTGCAGGCCTCCTGGCTTGCTCTCATCCTCTTCAAAGCTCTGTTTATTAAAACTAAGTGGAGCCTGTGTCTGGCAGCCAAGACAGAAATCCTGCCATTTGCTGCAAGTGAAAACCTGCGGGCAGCCAAGGACTAGCGGGCTCCCACGTGCCTTCCTGTTCACCCTCCCAGCTAATGGCAAGGACATCCCTGGTCCCAGCCTCTGTGCTGTGTAGCCCATGGGACACGGCGGGGCGCCCTGCTGGACGTGGGAGGGGCTGGCTGCTAACAGCTGTGGGGACAGCCGTGGGTCCCAACTGCAGCGTGGCCCGAGGTCTGCCCAGCCCTCTCCCCAGGGGCCGGTCTGATGGGTGTGGACAAACGCTCCCTGAAGATGTAGGTTCACGGGGTCTGACTCAGGCCAATGCCGGCCCCTGTACGTGTTTCTCAGCCTCAGCTGATGACCTGACCAGCACCGAGGCACCATAATGGCCACTAAAGACCCACCTGGACTTCCCCTTCCTCTTAAAACACACAACCAGGAATGCCAGCCTGTCCAGGTTCGATCTGGGGTGACCAAGCTGGGCATCCCTGGAGCCCCTCACTCAGGATGAGCAGGGCAGGGAGCACCTACCTGGCAGGCCGCCGGCAAAGGTGAGCACGGGGCTCCGCAGGTGCTTCTCGAGCACGGCCAGCCTCTCCTGCAGCTGCGTGGCGCTCACCTCGCTCTGGCCCCTGGTGCCGTCCACCTCCAGGGTGGCCTCACCCTCCCTCAGCGAGATGGTGACCATGTGCTCTTGACCATCGCAGACCTTGATCTCCATTAGGGCCAAGGCCACGTGCTCCACGGCCAGGACCACCAGCTGCAGGAGACCGAGATGTGGTCAGGGCCTGCCGGCCGCCCCCATGTAAGCCGTTAGGTCCAAGCTGGTCCTCACAGCTGCCGGCCACCCCTGCGCCGCAGGCCTGTCTCCGTCCATGGTTCCCTGAAGCCCTGGGTCCGGATGCTCGCTGACTGGATGACGCCCCACCCCACCTGGGGTTCAGCTTCTCTGCGCGTAAAGCCAGGGGCCAGCCTGGGAGGCTGTGGGGGAGCAGGTGTGGCCCCCAGGTTGAGTGTGAGAGGGTCAACCCCAGCCCCAGGCACCAGGCACACACAGGACCGAGGCTGCACTTGACCAGGAACTGGTGTGTCCCTGACGGGGACCCAGGGACCAGCCCTGTGGTGGTGGACTCCCAGCCCGGTGGGCTCTCACGCTGGCACCGCAGCCCAGCTGCCTGTTCCCCAGCCCAGGGGTCAGCTGTTGCTACATAAGGGCAGCTGTTTATTCCAGATGCCAGGATTGCGTCTGGCCCTGGTGATGAGCATTTGCGTGAACCAAGCCTGTCACTGTTGCATCCAAGCAACCAGGAGGGCCCTGTGGCCCTGGGGTGGGCAGACTTGGAGAACAAGGGCCTCTCTGGTTTGACCCATGTCGTCCTCCTTAGCACAGGAGCGAGAGAATACAACCTGTTTCTGTCACCTCCTGATTGTTCTGTGGGGAAAACAGCATGACTCCCCCGGCCCAAGACAGCTGACTTATTGTGAGGACCGGGGGTGGGGGACCTCATCCAAGGGGCAGCTGCACTCAGCTCCACCCACTGTTCCTCAGGGAAAGACCTGTGGGGGGTACCAGCCGAGGTCACAGATCTGACTTTTCCAGGGAAATTGGAAAACTGAGTTTGTTGCTGAAATCATCTGACTTAAACATGAGAGACTAATTCAGTTTGCTGTGAGCCACCATCTGCCCAGCCGAACGGGAAAAGCTCCCACGCTGTGGGCCGAGTGTGGCTCGCAGGCACCGGACCCCCAGTCAGCCGTGTCCAAACAACCCCCACAGTTGGAAGGGTAGCCCGCGCCAGGCTTGGCTCATCGAACCTCTGGTCAGAGGCTTTTGGGGCTCCCTGCGGATCCCACCCCAGGCCCCCTCCGTCCCCTGCCAGGGAGTGCGGCCCATGTGCCTGTGGGGCGAGCCGGTCAGGACACCTTGGGTGGCGGAGGCCCTACCTGCTTCTTGAGCTTCTTTGTGGAGTGATAGTCTACCAGGGCCACAGAGAGAGGCACGGCACGGAGGTCGGGGACCCAGAGTGCGAACAGCACCCCTGTGTCTGCGGCCGGGCGGATGTGAGCCACGACTTCTATTTCCCAGGTCGATTCTGTCCCGATGTCCAGAGGGGTCCGCACTGCGACGAAAGCGGTGCGTTATAGGGTGGGATGCAGTGGAGAGGCCACAGTGAGGTCGGAGCGGGGCCCTGAGAGAGGCAGTCCCGGCCGCGGTGGGAAGCTGCGCGGACGGCCCCGATCTGGGATGTGATGGAAAACTCAAGAGTCTGGTTCAGATCTTGGCCCAGAGCCCAGAGGCACCGGGGACCCCCAGGCTGTCTCTCCCTGGCCACACCAGTACCCCACTTGCAAATCCGCTCTAGGCGACCACCAGGCCATGCAGACCTGCCTGAGGGGACACGGGCTGTGCACCATGGGACGCAGGCCTGTCCCTGCCTTGCTCTGATGTCCTCTTGTTTCAGGAGCGCCTGGCAGCTCCTTCCTCAGAGCACGTACAGGTGCATGGCCTCGTGCCTCGAGTCTCACCTGCAGCTTCTGAGCAGCAGCACAGGCTCAGCGTGAGTCAAGAGTGCAGACAAGAGCTGTCGGGAGCATGGCGGTCTGGGGTCTGAGCTGTCAGCAGCACGCGTGGTCTGGGGTCTGAGCTGTCAGGAGCATGTGCGGTCTGGTTCTGAGCTGTCAGGAGCACAGCGGTCTGGGGTCTGAGCTGTCAGGAGCACGAGCGTTCTGGGGTCTACGCTGTCAGGAGCACGCGGAGTCTGGGGTCTGAGCTGTCAGGAGCACGCTCGGTCTGGGGTCTGAGCTGTCAGGAGCACGCTCGGTCTGGGGTCTGAGCTGTCAGGAGCACGCACGCTCTGGGGTCTGAGCTGTCAGGAGCACGCGCGCTCTGGGGTCTGAGCTGTCAGGAGCACGCGCGCTCTGGGGTCTGAGCTGTCAGGAGCATGTGCGGTCTGGTTCTGAGCTGTCAGGAGCACAGGTCTGAGCTGTCAGGAGCATGTGCGGTCTGGTTCTGAGCTGTCAGGAGCACAGCGGTCTGGGGTCTGAGCTGTCAGGAGCATGTGCGGTCTGGGGTCTGAGCTGTCAGGAGCACGCGCGGTCTGGGGTCTGCGCTGTCAGGAGCATGTGCGGTCTGGTTCTGAGCTGTCAGGAGCACAGCGGTCTGGGGTCTGAGCTGTCAGGAGTAGGCGCGGTCTGGGGTCTGTGCTGTCAGGAGTAGGCGCGGTCTGGGGTCTGAGCTGTCAGGAGCGCGCGCGGTCTGGGGTCTGCGCTGTCAGGATCACAGGCAGTCTGGGGTCTGAGCTGTCAGGAGCACGCGCGGTCTGGGGTCTGCGCTGTCAGGAGCACGCGCGGTCTGGGGTCTGAGCTGTCAGGATCACAGGCAGTCTGGGGTCTGAGCTGTCAGGATCACAGGCGATCTGGGGTCTGAGCTGTCAGGAGCACGCGCGCTCTGGGGTCTGCGCTGTCAGGAGCGCGCGCGGTCTGGGGTCTGCGCTGTCAGCAGCGGGCGCGGTCTGGGGTCTGTGCTGTCAGCAGCGGGCGCGGTCTGGGGTCTGCGCTGTCAGGAGCGCGCGCGGTCTGGGGTCTGAGCTGTCAGGAGCGCGCGCGGTCTGGGGTCTGAGCTGTCAGGAGCGCGCGCGGTCTGGGGTCTGCGCTGTCAGGAGCAGGCGCGGTCTGGGGTCTGAGCTGTCAGGAGCACGCGCGGTCTGGGGTCTGCGCTGTCAGGAGCAGACGCGGTCTGGGGTCCGAGCTGTCAGGAGCACGCGCGGTCTGGGGTCCGAGCTGTCAGGAGCACGCAGGGTCTGGGGTCTGCGCTGTCAGGAGCAGGCGCGGTCTGGGGTCTGCGCTGTCAGGAGCAGACGCGGTCTGGGGTCTGAACTGTCAGGAGCACGGGCGTTCTGGGGTCTGTGCTGTCAGGAGCGCGCGCGGTCTGGGGTCTGCGCTGTCAGGAGCGCGCGCGGTCTGGGGTCTGCGCTGCCAGGAGCACAGCGGTCTGGGGTCTGCGCTGTCAGGAGCACAGCGGTCTGGGTTGCGCGGTATGGGGTCTGCGCTGTCAGTCTTTGCTCTGCTCCTGCCTCAGTGGGGTTTTCCACTCACACCCTGCGTGTGCGCATGAACCCACGTGTGTCGTATGTAATGCATCTGAATGAAATCACGTGGCATCCGTAGCTCATACAAAAGTGCCCCAAAACGTATGTTACTAGAAAGGGCTGAATTCCTGTTCTCCCAGGGAGAATACCACCGCATGTCCTCTCCACGCTGAGCCCTCCGCAGACTAAGAAGCCAGAAGATAAAACCTCCACCCTGTTTTCAGTGTTTCTATCTCACCCAGAATTCCAAAGTCCTAACAAAGAAGCTGTTTTAGGAAAAAGGAGCCCAAATCAATGTGTGTATGGATTTGTGATCGGGGGCCTCACACTGCGGGCCGAGTGGGGTCATAGTGAATTGTGCTGGCTTCCCTGTCTCTTTCCCACGGGGCTGTGTGCACCTCAAAGCCACATCGCCTGTCCTGCCTGTCCTTAGCTGGTACCCGCCATGTCAGTTCTCAACAACCGTTTATGGCATTGAAACACAAAATCAGAAAAAGTAACAAAAATACAGCAACAGAAACAAAAAGTAACAAAAATTCTCCTGTTGGCTGGTCTTCCCATCACCTGTGAAAGGAAAGATGATGGTGTCCTTTAAAATGGAAGCTCCTGGCTGGGTGTGGTGGTGGCTCACGCCTGTAATCCAAGCACTTTGGGAGGCTGAGGTCGGTGGATCACCTAAGGTCGGGAGTTCGAGACCAGCCTGACCAACCATGGAGAAATCCCATCTCTACCAAAAATGCAAAATTAGCTGGGTGTGGTGGCACATCCCTGTAATCCCAGCTACTCGGGAGGCTGAGGCAGGAGAATCGCTTGAACCCAGGAGGCAGAGGTTGTGGTGCGAATCTGGGAGGTGCAGCCGAGATGGTGCCATTGCACTCCAGCCTGGGCAACAAGAGCAAAACTCCATCTCAAAAAAAAAAAAAAAAAGGAAGCTCCCATCAGGAACCGGGCACGTGCTGGCCATCAGGGGCTTCATGAGGGCACTGGCCTCTGCTCTCCCCGGGAAGGTTTCCCGGCTCCACGTGGCCCCTCACGTGGAGGCTGCACAGACCTGGAGATCTGTGAGCCTGAGCCCAGGCTGAGTCACTGCAGAGTGAGCCAGGCCAGTGCTACCGTTCCCAGCAAGTCTCTTCTGTCTTTAAGAGACGTTACTGGTGTAGTTTGAGATTCGCTGGGAACGCATGGAGCTCTAACTGCTTCAGTCTGGATAGACCAAAACGGGCCGGCAGACGCGGCCGGCAGTCACTGGAAACGGCCCCTGTGATGCCTGCGTAAAGTTACCCCTGAGAAATGTGTATGATATTAAGTGGAAAAAGGATTTAAGCATTTCATATGACATGATTTCCTGTCAAACATTATAATGATGCTCTAGATTTGTAAGTGAAAAATCGAGACTGAGGGAGAATGCGTGCACAGTGGCAGACGGGCTTTTCTCACAGATGCCTTTCCTGACATGGTCACGCTTTTGACACCCAGGGAGAGACGCGGACACTGGATCTGGCTCAGGAGACGGGGCAGGACCCTCCCCTTTGCTCCGTGTGGACCCCCTTGAACCTGGGGTTCCTGCTGGGTGCTTGAGGGCTGGCAGCCCTGAGATCTGATGGAGGGGGCGCTGTCTGCCCTCTGTGCATGTGGGGGCTTCGCCATAAACGGCTCGGTGTTCAGGAACAGGGTGGGGCTGCGGTGCCCCAGTGGGACCCATGTGGGGTGGGAATGTGAGGCAGGGCGGGCTGAGCAGTAACTCTATCCGCACAGCAGCTCCAGGGCCTTCACCGGGGAGGGCGGCAGCACCTTCCCCAGGGCACCGCAGGACTGGGCCAGCAGCTCACACCTACCCTGTCCTCCTTGTTCAGGCCTGAGTTCACTGTCCCCCAGGCAGCTTCATTGCTGTTTTTAGACACCTCCTGTTGTAGATGTCTCACCGGGTTATCGGTGACCGCAGTGTTCACCACATTACTAAGAGCTTCCATGTGCCTCTGGACAAGTCCTAAGGCTGGTGCTGTCTCAGGACTTTCTGCAAAGGACCCTCTAGGGCCTCCCAGCCTCCCCGGCCTCCCAGCACCGGCCTGGCAAGCATCTTCTCGGCACATCTCTGTCATTTCTTCTTCACTGGCTGACTCTGAACTGAGTGACCTGCACAACCATCCTGAGAGGTGGGCCTCTGCGCACACCTCTGCCCACCCCGCCCTGCCCTGGAACCGGAGGAGCCTCAGCTTGTCCTGACACTGCCATCTGAGGCCGTCTGCTTGCTCTCAGCGTATGCCTGAAGGTGCAGCCACAGCCGCCCCAACCGGAAGAGCCAAGACTTACTGTAGTCCAGGCTGTAGAAGGCAAAGCCACTCCCCGGGTAAAAGGAGCCTCTCTCTGTCACCGAGAAGCACTGCATTTTCGGGTTCGCTTTCACCGTTTCTTGGATGGTGGTGTCTTCTCCGTTCAGCCAGTTCCAGCTCCTCATACAGCCATCCAGACGAGGGTTTATCTGGAAAGGCAGAGAAATCTCCGTGGCTTCCTGGGAGCGGGAGGCCCATGCCGGACGCCCCAGGCAGTGGGTGGTGCCTTCGCAGCCGCAGCAAGTGCAGACCTACTGCAAAAATGGGCCAATCCCACTGGTGGTGGTGATTTCACAGACGGTTTCCTCACTTTACAAAATGACCCACTGCAGAATACCTGTTTGCACTGGTGTATGCTCAGGAAATACAGGTTAATTTTAAAGCTAGGAAAGGACTGAAAAGGCCACATGGATCCAAGGTCAAACAATACGGATTGTTTAACCATCCAGCACTCACGTGAATTATTCAATATTCAATATGGCTGTGGGCAAATCAGGACAACCCCCTTATGTGTGAAACAAGGAGGGGCGAGCCAGGCAAAGTCCCAGCACCAGGCAGTCCGTGGGCCTGGGAAGCAGGTGCCCCTCATAACACTGAAGGGCTGGCTTCAGCACAGGCACTGCCGACACTCAGCACCCACAGACGCGAAGACATGTGTGCCCTTCTCCTGTCTGGTGTCGAAGTGAAAACACCCAGGATGAAGGCTTAGATGTCAGTGCGTGGGGGCTGGAGACAGGTCGGGGGCACAGGCGTGTGCTGTGCTGAAGGGGAGAGAAGGCGGGAACTGGAGAAAGGGCCCACACTGGCCGCCCCACCATGGCTGTTCTTCCCTTATGAGACTCATGGCAGAGTTACAAAACCCAAAATGTTCTTGGAAATTGTCCAAAAAAGTTTGTTGTTCTGTTAGGGAATAATTTCATTGTGTCTTGTCTCCATTGAAAAATAGACAACATTATTATCAATTCAGATGAAAACTTAGACGGGTCTCATAAAAAGAGATGGTAAAATTAATGACACAGCTGTACCATGACTTTGTCAAATTCTAGGAAACCTTTCCTTCCTCTAGGTCCTCCCCACACCTGGTTAATCGTAAACACAGGGCAGGGCGTGACTGAGCCTTCCTGACACCAGTCCCGGGATCCCAGCACACGGCGCGTCTACACAGGGACAGTGGTAAACACAGGGCAGGGCGTGACTGAGCCTTCCTGACACCGTTCCTGGGATCCCAGCACACGGCGCGTCTACACAGGGACAGTGGTAAACACAGGGCCGGGCGTGACTGAGCCTTCCTGACACCAGTCCCGGGATCCCAGCACACGGCGCGTCTACACAGGGACAGTGGTAAACACAGGGCCGGGCGTGACTGAGCCTTCCTGACACCAGTCCCGGGATCACAGCACACGGCGCGTCTACACAGGGACAGTGGTAAACACAGGGCAGGGCGTGACTGAGCCTTCCTGACACCGTTCCCGGGATCCCAGCACACAGCGCGTCCACACAGGCACAGGTACGGTACTCACAGGCTGCACGAGGTCCTTCTCATGGAAGGGAATGCCTCCCACGGTGAGGTTCAGATGATACAGTCCTCGCTCTGGTTGGAACAAGTCCCCGGCCACCGCGATTTTCATGACAGCGTCCCTGTTGACCTTGATGACCAGATTCCGCGCCAGCTCCTCAACAGAGATCTGAAGAGAGGCAGCGCCATGAGAAGAGGTGGGAGTGCACGTTCTGAAGGGCTCCCAACTGCAGAAAAACCACACTCATCCTCTCCTGAGCCAAGAGGGACCTGACCTCGGGGAGACCACCCGATGCTCACCTGGGCCAAGATGATCCCAATCTCAGGGAGACCACCTCATCCTCACCTGCGCTAACAGGGACCCGACCTCGGGGAGACCACCTGATCCTCACCTGGGCCGACAAGGACCTGACCTCGGGGAGACCACCTGATCCTCACCTGGGCCAAGAGGGCCCTCGATGCATCAGTGTGGTCACCAGAAACTTTCCTCACAGGAAACCTGTAAGTCTAACACTAGATACACTATATTCCTAAGCTTCAGAAGAATATCCTTGTTCCTGTGTGAAAACACCTTTCAGGTATTTGGGTTTGAACTGAGTCACAAAAACACGGTACAAATTCGGGTCAGCTGGGTTTGGGGAGCAGCTAGAGACAGTGGAATTGAGGGGGTCCTCACGAGGTACCCCTGCCGGGGAAGGGCCTGTCTTGCTGGGGTGCGGCGGCCACTGTGAGTCACTGGGCAGGTCTACACAATACCGCTCCCCACAGCGACCTCGCCTCTGGCCACCTGCCCTGGCCCCTCACCCCGTGGTGCCATCCCTGAAACTGCTTCCCCTCCATTTGCTTTCTGTAGCTTTGCTGAGAACAGCCTTCTGCTCTTGGAGATGCTGTTCCTTTAAGAGGCTGGGAAAATGGAGCGAGGCCTTACTCTGCAGAATGGAAATACGAGCAAAGTCTACAATGTTTCATCTGCGGGGCCAAGGTGAATTTTCCACTTCATCTTCACTTCTGAAGGACATGACGTGCTTTCTTCCCAGCTTTTACTTCTGAAAGCCCCGTGTGGTGAGGGAGGCCCAGCGCTGTGGGCGGGAGCCTGGTTGGTTACAGACCCTCTCACTCCATGAACGGGGATGTGGGGTGGGCGCGTTTTACCGCTGCCCACAGCTGCCCAAGTGCAGGTCTGACCAGGACCCCTCAGGTGGCCCATGGGGCTGGGGTCCAGGTGGTCAGGACGTTTCTGGCAAGGGGCAGCCCCGGTGAGGTCACCTGGACCCCTGGCATGCATGACTGCACCGACCAGCAGGCCCTGGGAGCCCGAGTTCAGGGGCGGCAGCGTCCACACCGTCCTACGGGGAAAGGTGGGTGGGTGGCGCCTGGCCTGTCCACGGCCAGGGAGACACGTATGGCAGGACCGGTACCTGTGGTGCAGGTTCAGTGGTGGCTTCCTCCCCTGGTGGGGCACCCTGCGTGCAGCATCAAGCAGCCCAGGCCTCTGTTCCCCGCCCCGCTCAGGATAAACAGTACGGCCTCCAGACACAGCCCTGGCCTCAGTACGGCCTCCAGACACAGCCCTGGCCTCTGTTCCCCGCCCCGCTCAGGATAAACACTACGGCCTCCAGACACAGCCCTGGGTCCCCGGGGCTGAGAACCACGGGTTCTCACCTGAGCCAAGAGCGACCTGAACTCCGGGAGACCAAACTCACTTGAGGCCCCCTTCGGAGGGAGCCAGGCTGATACGTGATGAAATAGCAGAGAGGCTTAGAGCACTGCAGTGAGCCCCCACAGCATGAACTGAACAGGGCAGGTGTCCCTGTGCCCCCGAGCATGAACTCAACAGGGCAGGGGTCCTTGTGCCCCCACAGCATGAACTGAACAGGGCAGGTGTCCCTGTGCCCCCGAGCATGAACTGAACAGGGCAGGGGTCCTTGTGCCCCCGAGCATGAACTCAACAGGGCAGGGGTCCTTGTCCCCCTGAGCATGAACTGAATGGGGCAGGGGTCCCTGTCCCCCCGAGCATGAACTGAACGGGGCAGGGGTCCCTGTCCCCCCGAGCATGAACTGAACGGGGCAGGGGTCCCTGTGCCCCAGAGCATGAACTGAACGGGGCAGGGGTCCTTGTCCCCCAGAGCATGAACTCAACGGGGCAGGGGTCCCTGTGCCCCAGAGCATGAACTCAACGGGGCAGGGGTCCCTATCCTGCCCACATGCAGCAGGTATAGGCCCCAGAGCTCATCTCCACGGTTGCACAAGCGAGTAACAGCCGGGTCAGGCTCAGGGACAACCCCGTGCGGCCCGGAAGGGGCGGCTGCCGCACACTCACCGTCTGCCACATGCCGTGGTTGATGACCGGGCCGCTGCTGGTGACGCGGCCGACGCCATTGTAGCGCAGCTGCAGCTCCAGCCGGCCGGCTCGCAGGGCCAGCACGATCCAGGTGCTGTCCTGGTGGCCTCCAGCGAAGAGGAGGATGCCCTCGGGGTCAAAGGTCCGGAAGTCAAACTCAGCTACGAGCCTGGGCACCCACAGGAGAAATGAGTCAGCGCCGGGTGTACGGCCAAGCCCGGGCCCGGGCCCCGCGCAGCCAGCACCTTGGCCGTGCTAAGCTGTGCTGCCTTCTGTGGGCGCCTCCTCACCTGGTGGGCTGCAGCCTCTTGAAGCGCAGTCGGATCACGGGGGTCCCACTGAACATCCGGCCCAGGTACAAGGACTTCACGCTCTTGGCCATGCTGAAGGGCACGCACGGCAAGATGTCCTGCCACAGACGGGGCCACGCCGGTCGGGGACGCGACCTCCACTCCAGCTCCCCTGAGCCCCAGGCCCCCGCCGTGCAGCGCGTCCGCTGTCCCTCCCATGCCTCGGGAGTGTGGCCGCCCCACCTCCAGCTGCCCAGGCCCCAGAGGCTGTCACACCTGCCCCACCACCGGGGCTCCTAGGTGAGGGACGGGCTCACACCAGCTGCTTCCCACAGGGCTTCTCGGGGGTCCCGTCACCTCCTTCCCTGCCCATTTCCCTTGACTCTTTATTTTTAAATTATGAAATATGTCAAGCATACAAAAAGTACAGAGAATCATAAAAAAGTATACACTATTATGAAATAAATATGGACGCCTTGAAGATGGCTGTTCTGGAAAGTTCCCTGCTCTGGGCTGTGGTTCCTCCATGCTGCCCTACGGGGGACAGAACCAAGGCCGGTGCGAGCTGGTGTCCCTGGAAACAGGGGCTGGGGCTGGGGCTGAGCCGGCCTGCTCCGCCCACCGTGGGCAGCCAGGGTGAGCTGGACACCTGGCAGGGGCCCGACGCCCTCTGCACGAGTACACGAGACAGTGAGGCAGAGAACCTCAAGGCGAGGGCTGGCTGGGAGCCCCGAACGTCGCAGCCCAGACCCAAGAGCCCCACAGCCGCGTCCCAGGTCTGTGACTCTGACAAGCTGTCCTGGTGGCTGCTTCACCTGTGGAATCCCGTGGTTTTGCTTTTTAAATAAATGCTCACTTTCGCCAACTCCCCAGGCACAGGCCCAGGGTGAACAGGAAACACGAGAGCCGCCCTGCCGGGAAGCGTCCCCATGTGGGTACCACATCCCCCTGGTGTGACAGGTCGGTCAGGCTGGCTCCCTGGCACGCGGCAGTGGGGACCGGGCCCCGTGGGTGTCACACGGGTCCACACCAGGCTGGTCCACTGTGAGTCGGGAGTTGCCATAGAGACTTTATAAATATAGAGACTTTATAAATACAACCAAACGTCCTCCAGGGAGCAGAAGCGTTTCTCATCCCAACCTCCACGTGGCCCTGGAGACCCCAACACCGCAGCCAAAGCCAGGTCTTCACGGAAGCGTTTCTCCCGAAAGCCCCCACCGGCGAGGGCCCCCAGAACCACCGTGAGAGGCCCGCGGGGCCAGGGGCTGCCTACCTCACAGGTGTCCATGTCCTGGGACAGCTTGAGGCCCCCGCGCCCATCACAGTGGCAGGTGTAGCTGCCCGGGGAGTTCACGCAGACCTGCTCACAGCGGCCCTGCAGACACTCATCCACATCTGCCAGCCAGAGGGAAGTGGCGGTGAGCGGGGGAGGCCTCTACACGGTACTGGGCAGGATCACACCACAACTGCTCAAACCACACACAAGGTGCACTCGGGGAATTATGTGCAGATTCTAACGGGTGCAGCCTGGGGTCTGTAGGCCCCCACTGGAAAGCTAGGATTGCACCCTCGGCCTGCTCCTGCCAGGCTCTTTCTTGAAGGGAGCGAAAGTGCTACAGGTGTTCCAGGGGGACGCTCCCAACGAGCCAGACCCACTCCCGCCGCCAGGCTGGTGTGGACGGCAGGTCTAGGAAGAACAAGGCCCGGACTGTGCAGTGAGGTGTCCCCGGGAGCACAGAGGCGCTGACAGCTGTGGTGGGAGATGGAGGTCAGTGCAGGCAGCCTGGGCCTCCCCACCCTCTCTGTCTGCCTACTCAGCCCCTGTTCCCATCACTGGGGGCATGGCCCCTCTTGGAGGCTCTGCAGCCAACAGGGTCCCCCCATGGTGGCTGAAAAAAAAAAACAGTAGAGGGAGGCTTGCTGCTCCCCATACCTTTGGGGAGAGGCCCCATCTACGCAGGTGGAGAAGGGTACGCACGTGTGTACATGCGGTGTATATGCATGTGCATGGTACGTTTGTGTGCACAAGGGGCATGGGTGTGTGCTCACGTGTGTGGGGGCATGGTGGTAGAAGAGGCCATTACCAGGCTGACAGAAACAGGGAGAAAGAGACTTTCTTTCACCAGAAGCGCCCAGTTGTTAGCAACTGCCCTGGCTCAGGCAGTGACCGGCACCCGTGTCTGGGCTTGGGCATCAGAGGAGGAGGAGAGAACCTGAGGGTGACCGCGTGGCGTGGGTACCTCGGCAGGCCTTCTCCTGGGAGCTGTATGCAAAGCCCTTGTCACAGAGGCAGGAGTAGGAGCCGGGCAGGTTCTTGCAGCGTGCCTCCCCGCAGGCCTCCGAGTCTGCACACTCGTCTATGTCTGCAAGCAAGACCGGCCAACCTCAGCATGGCAGCATCTCAGACGGGGCCAGGGCAGGTGGCTGCAGGGGCTGGCCAGGGCACCACCCGGACATCACACCCAGGCTCTGTGGGGCCAACGCGCCCTGGCCCCAATTCCCTCCCCTCCTCCCCTGACCGGGCAGCTCCCGGGGTGTTGGGGGCATGCTTCTGATCAAGGCCCGGCTGGGAAGGCTGATTTCAGCCCAGCAGATGGAGAGCTGGGAAGGGCCTTGCTTGGTCCAGGGGTGGGGGGCGGTGGTGCACGCTGTGCTGTTCCATTTAAATGATGGTGCCACAGGATACGGGGCAGTAAAAAGCAACCCCACCAGGGGCATTTGAAACCAAAACCCCCAAAGAGAAGCATTTATAGGTTTCAATCAATTTTCACTACCAGGTTAAACCACAATCCTAAGACTTGAACATCTATGTGGGACAGACACTGTTTATGGCCAAGCACCCTGGGGTACAAGGGGCAACCCTGAAATGAAGACCTTTAGTCACCAGAGGAGAGCAAGGACAGGGGCATGGAGAAAGAGGAGGGGGGGAAGAGGAGGGGGAGGAGGAGGGGGAGAAGCAGAGAGGAAGAGGAGAAGGCGAGGGAGGGGTAGGGGGAGGAGGGGAGGAGGTGGGGGAGGGGTTGGGAGTGGTGGGGGAGGAAGAGGGGGAATAAGGATGGGGGAGGAGGGGGAGGATGGGAGGAGGGGGAGGAGGCAGGGGAAAAAGAGGGGGAATGAGGAGGAAGAGGGAAGGAGAAGGAGGAAGAGGGGGAGGAAAAGGGGGACCAGGGGGAGGAGGAGAAGAAAGAGGAGGAGGAAGATGGGGAGAAGGAGGAGAGAATAGGATGCCTCTGTCACTGTGGGCAGTAACTGTGAGCCCAGACTTTGCCGGGAGTGCCCGACTGGTGCAGGGACCCATGTGAGGTGCTTTAGACGTCATCTCTCAGGATTGACCGTGTCTTCACCTCTCTTTAAACCTGGGGTGCTGCTGTCTTCCAGGTCAGGGATACAGCAGTGATGGGAGGGGCTCTGTCCTCCAGGCAAGAGGAGGAGGAGCTGAACGGCGAAATGGGCACGTCATCTGCACACAGGACTAACTCCTGGGTGGTCAGGGAAGGGAACCATCAAAGTGGACACAAATATCAGCTGCCTTTTGAAATCGGGGGACAGCGTGTGGCCCCTCCTGTCTGGTCAGATTCACTCTCCAGCTCCTGGGCCTGTTTCTCCCTGAGCAACTGTCTGTCCCATCCACGCAGTCCGGTGTCCTGGACAGCCAGCAGCAGCAGTAAGAACGATGCCAGAAATTCTCAGGGACACGCCTGGGCATGTCCAGATCCAAGGCGGGAGGGAGGAGGAAGGTGCTCCCCCTGCGAAGCCCCAGTGGCAGAAGCAGCACCCGGGACAGCATCGGGGGTGCGCACATTCACAGTGACTTTCTGGGGTGTCCCGGGGCTCCCCAGCTCTGGCCCTGGGCCGAGGGAACCCCAGACTGAAACACGAAGGGAAATGGGGAGGGCAGGGCTGTATTTAGGGAACAGACAGAGGGAGACCAACAACAGGGTGCTTCTGGGGACGCTGGGGAGAGTGGACGGCAGCGGGGACCTAGCCTGGAACTCTGACCCACAAGCTCACTGCACAACAGCCTGGAGCACTCCCAGGCTCTGCGAGGCTCTGGGGACGGGACGAGGCCCTGCTGCCAGCAGTGTGGCCTCTGAGTTCTGGCCCTCAGATGCCGGGTGAGTCATCCTGATGTGGTGCCGAGTAGCTCCCTGTGCTGCGGCTCGCCTGGGCTTGTGCAGTCTCTGCAGGATGCCCCATCCCGTCCAGAACCACAGGAACCCAGCCAGCAGCAGCCTCTTGCAGAAGCGCAGATGTGACCAAAAATAGAAGGTGGGGAGAGGAAAGAGGCCTCACCCCAGGGCCTTACCTTGGCAGGTCCTGCCGTCAGAGGAGAGCTGGAAGCCGCTGTGGCAGGCACAGTGGAAGCTGCCCGGCTTGTTGTGGCAGATCTGGAGGCAGCCCCCATTCTCCTGGCTGCATTCATTGACATCTGGGAACAAGCACAGGCCTGAAGGGGAGCCCAAGGGTGCAGAGTCCCCGTCTAGGGCAGGGAGAGATCCCAGGGGTGCACATCCCAGCCCTGGAGCAGGGAGGGACCCCGGGGCTGGGGGGCACAGCCCAGCCCTGGAGCAGGGAGGGAGCCCAGGGGTGCACAGCCCCCATCTAGAGCAGGGAGGGTCCCCAGGGCTTGGACCTCACACCCCCCTCAGCAGCCCCAGCGTTTCAGGGTCCCTGGTCCTGGCCTTGCGTGTGGAGGTGATGATGGGAGGGCTGTGGTCTCAGCCCGGGGAGCTGCTGGCAGTCACCGGGGGATCCCCTGCTGTGGTCTCAGCCCGGGGAGCTGCTGGCAGTCACAGCCACAGGGCTCAGCTCCCTGGATGCCCACGTGCTTGCAGGAAGAGGCTGCAGGCCAGGAGTGACCTCTGGGTGCCTGAGGACAGACAAGGCCAGGCCAGAGCTGGCCACTCCTGAGTGAAGCTCTCCCAGGTCACCTCTGGGGTGGGACCTGCCAAAGGGGACAGGCTGGCCTGCTGGACTCTCCACTATGGGTCTCCACCAGGCCCTGGAGCTATTCTTCCTCCAGGGTCTTCACTGATACCACAGGTCTGCACTCAAGGACGGTCAGAGGTGAAATTTCTCCCCCGCCTTTCAGTCGTGGGCGCTGAGGCACCACCTGGCGTTTCCTTTCATTCCAGCCCTGCTCCCAGAGAGGAGACCGCAGCTCCTCCCAGTTCTGGGGCTCCAGGATACCTCAGGGCTGCAGCCGCCTTGGGGCTGTCAGAGAGTAGCCTGAGGACGGCTGGGGTGGGAGTGAGGAGTGGGGATCAGGACAGGGTTGCAGAGGGAGGGAGACCCTGCCTTTGTCTTCAGCCTCACGTGGCTGTGGGGGTCTTACCTCTGTCACAGAGCCGGCCCCCCCAGCCGGCTTTACACAGGCAGAAGAAGTTGCCCATGAGGTCTTGGCAGGCTTGGGTCCCCTTCTTATCACAGGGGTTGGGCGTGCACTGGTCAGGCAGGTCTGATTGGGGACACAAAGTGGAAAATCATGCTCAGCTGCCCCCCTGTCCCCGACGCAGCTGGGAGTGGAGCAGCCATGGTGCCTCGGGTCCAGCCCGGAGGAGCTCTGAGAGGCGGAGGCTGAGGCGGGTCCCGGGCACCCGAGCCCCCTGTGCTGGCCCAGGGCTGACAGAACAGGCTAGCGGGCTGGGGCCGGCTCCAGGAAAACTCAGATCAGTTGGCAGGGAGTGCCGGCAGGCCCGACGGGCGAGGTGGGAAGGGCCGAGGGCAAAGGAGCAGGAACCGCCTGGCGCGAGGCCCAGGAGCTCGGACCTCCCGGGGAGCAGGCAAACAGAACCCCCAGCTGACCTGGGGCCCTTCCAGGTGGACTCAAAACACTCTGCCTTCCGTGGCCAGCCCCAGCCCATTTCTGGTGAATTCTCCAGGCCGGGCATGGCGGACAGGACCCCGAGCCCAGGCTGCACTGCCGGAGGGGTCCTCCAGGAAGCCCCCTCTTTCTTCTTAGCCGCCCCCCTCCATGTGTCTTGACGGCTTTAGGCCGGATGTGTGCTGCCCTCTCTCAGGGCGATCACCTGGGCTGAGCTCCTGCAGGGCGAGAGGGCAGGGGGGTGGGTGGGGGCCTGAGGGCGGGAACCCGTCCCAGTGCAGCTGTCCCCCATACCGGGAGTTGCTCACAAACGCTTCCAGGACACGGACCGAACCCACGTCCCAGAGGCAGGCAGGGAACCCCCAAGAGCGCGGTTACGCAAGCCTGAGCCCCAGGAAGTTGGCAGGAAGAACCACAATCACGCCTGGAGCTCACAGAACCGTTTCACAGCCGCGGGGAGCAGCAGCAGCTCAGGGCTGGGCGTGGCAGTGCTCAGGGGCGCGGTCCACGCTCGGCTCCGCCCCACGCGAGGACTCAGCCACGCTCGGCTCAGCCACACACGGCTCCGTGGGGAACCCTGGGTAGGGCCCCCGCTGGCTGAGAGAGGCTCCTGTCCATCGATTCCACACAAGTTCAATAAGGACCAGTCCCTGGGAAAAGCGCAGGCCGGGCCAGCAGGGCCCCAGAGCACTCGGCCAGCGCCATCCTGAGGGGGTCAGCTCTGGTGGGGGCACATCGAGTCTTCAACGGATGGGATCTCACTGCCGGTGTGTCGCTTCCGTTCCTGAGGCTCCCAAGGTGACGCTTCCCACCAGGTCCGTGGAACGTGGCGTTTCCAACAGAGGGTCCGGGCTCGGCTGTCAGTGCAGGAGCTGCTTCCCTCCCACCTGCACTGGTTGGTGCCTGGTGCCAGGGTGAGCGGCAGGCGGGTCTGTGGTTCACGAAGCTGCATTCCTCCAGCTCATCCAGTCACTGCCTGTGGCCAGCACAGACACAGCCCCTGTCCTCCCAGGCGGGTCCAGGCACCGAGCTCACCAGAAGCCCGGACACAAGTCCCAGACTTCTTGGGAAAGCTGCCCAACCACACTGGCTTCTTCCTGCGATGCTTCACCGCATGCCTCAGTGTTTCCTCCGCACACCTCACAGTGTTTCCTCCGTATGCCCCAGTTTCCTCCTCATGCCTCAGTTTCCTCCGTACACCCCACAGTTTCTTCCTCATGCCTCAGTTTCCTCCGTACACCCCACAGTTTCCTCCGTATGCCTCATAGCGTTTCCTCCATACGCCTCACAGTTTCCTCCGTACGCCTCAGTTTCCTCCATACGCCTCAGTTTCCTCCATACGCCTGTTTCCTCCATACGCCTCAGTTTCCTCCATACGCCTCAGTTTCCTCCATACACCTGTTTCCTCCATATGCCTCAGTTTCCTCCATACACCTCAGTTTCCTCCATACACCTGTTTCCTCCATATGCCTGTTTCCTCCATACGCCTCAGTTTCCTCCATACGCCTCAGTTTCCTCCGTATGCCTCATAGCGTTTCCTCCATACGCCTCACAGTTTCCTCCATATGCCTCAGTTTCCTCCATATGCCTCAGTTTCCTCCATACACCTCAGTTTCCTCCATACGCCTGTTTCCTCCATACGCCTCACAGTTTCCTCCGTACACCTCAGTTTCCTCCATATGCCTCAGTTTCCTCCATACACCTCAGTTTCCTCCATACGCCTCAGTTTCCTCTGTACACCTCACAGTTTCCTCCATCTGCCCCCCAGTTTCCTCCATACGCCTCCAGTTTGCTTGTTTTGCACAAATGACTGCCAACAGAACACTTGCAGGTGTGGACAGAGCTCGCGTCTCGAAGTATTTCTAAGACGCTATTTTCAGCAGGTCACTATAAATGCCTTCTACTCTGAAGCACACAGGGGCTGGGGCTGAGGAAACAAGGACCAGGACCAGGGATTCTGCATCAGCACAGCCACCAGGAGCCGGCCGGGGCCCCATCCCTGACCCTGCCATGGCCCGGCTGTACCTGGGTGCTGTGTCCGCAGGACGTCTGGAGACGTCAATGTGATCACAGCAGGGCCTGGAAGGGGGAGGTCCGGCCTGAACTAGAGAAACGAGGGGCGTGTCCACTTCGCCACTCTGGCCTCAGATGAAGAGGCTCTGGGGGCAGGAGGGAGTCAGACACATGCAGGGCAGGCGGCCTGTGCAGGGCCCAACCCTCCGGCACCAGAACCTGACCCTCAAGAGGCCCCCACTGTGGAGGGATGCTGTGCGCTGCCACTTACAATGTTTGGTTAGAGACTAAAGTCATTTCAGAAGTGGACACCTGCCCATGTGATGTGAAGGACTGGGAACCTAGTCCTGACTTTGCCTGGAACGCCCTTTGGAAAGACCTGTGTCCCTGAGGCTGAGCGACAGCGAGGCTGAGGGAGAGCGAGGCTGGGGGAGAGCGAGGCTGGGGACAGCGAGGCTGGGGGACGGCGAGGCTGAGGGACAGCGAGGCTGAGGCACAGCGAGGCTGGGGGACAGTGAGGCTGAGGGATGGTGAGGCTGAGGGACGGCGAGGCTGAGGAGTGAGGCTGAGGGACGGCGAGGCTGGGGACGGCGAGGCTGAGGGACGGCGAGGCTGAGGGACGGCGAGGCTGAGGCATAGCGAGGCTGGGGGACAGTGAGGCTGAGGGACGGCGAGGCTGAGGGACGGCGAGGCTGAAGGACGGCGAGGCTGAGGGAGGGCGAGGCTGAGGGAGACGGCGAGGCTGAGGGACGGCGAGGCTGAGGGAGGGCGAGGCTGAGGGACGGCGAGGCTGAGGGAGGGCGAGGCTGAGGGACGCTGAGGGAGGGCGAGGCTGAGGGAGGGCGAGGCTGGGGACGGCGAGGCTGAGGGACAGCGAGGCTGAGGAACAGCGAGGCTGAGGACGGTGAGGCTGAGGAAAGTGCCTGCTCCTGCCGGGTGCCCAGCTCTTAAGTGGTCCCCAGTCTCATGGCCGCCTACCCCGGGGCCTCCCCCAACTCATTTATTTCCCTGTTGGGCATGTACTGATACCTCTACAGTGTGAGGACGGAACCACATCTGAGGGGTGGACACTCAGCGGGTGCCCAGCAGATGTCTGTGGAATTTCCTCCACACAGCAGGGAAACCAACAGAGACAGAAACCTCTGCAGGCCCCAGAGGGCACCCACCTCCCTGACCCCGCCCAGCTCCCTGATGGGCACCCACTTCTCTGACCCTCATCCCACAAGCTGGGCCTAGGGAGTCGGTGGTCTGGCTGGTCATGCCCTGGGCACTGGCGCCTGCAGAGAGTTCAGGAGGTGAAGTTTATCTCAGCTCGGCCCGTGACTGCACTGAAGGACAGGAGGGAGCAGCCATGGCTGTGGCTGGAATTGGAAGCCAGTGCCGGCAGCTAGGGCCTTTCCCTGGGTGGTGACAGGCAAGGACCAGGGCCCTATCCGTCTGAGGGAAGGGCGAGGGGACGCTCCCTGTGGCGGGGGTGGGGATCCTGGTAGCCGGGGCTCAGTGACCGCTGCCTGGGCCACAGCCTGTGGGGACCTGACCTTCCTGGGGAAACCCATGGCCAAAGGAGCCGAGAAATCCAAGCACCAAACGGCCGCTAGGGCAGGACGGGAGTGTTCAGCCGTGGAGAGGCCGGATGTGTCCATGGGAAAGGAAAGAAATGGAAGCAGAGGCTCTTCAGGGGCACCCGGGAACGCAGCCTACACTCTTCCCAGGCCTCCTCCCTCCGTCCACCATGCCGCCTGGGTCCTGGGACAGCCTGAGGGCCACAGGCTCCCATGCAAGGCCCGCTGGGGGCCGGCTTGTCTGGGGCTGAATTGGGACTCTGTGGGGCTATGGCTTTAATTTCACAGTAACCGATAACCAGTGAACTGAAGCCAGGACAGCACCGTGAGCACCAAGTCAGAGAATTTTCACGAGGGACTGATGAACAGGAACAGGGTGCGAGGCTGCCCCAGCTGCGTCCTCCAGAGGCGCCTTCCCAGGGGAGTGTGAGGCTGCCTGCTGTGGCCCCCAAAGCACCTTCCTCACCGCCAGGTGTCTTTTGAGGCACTCAAACATCAGAGGCCCCAGCCATGTGCTCTGGAGGAGAAGCTGAGAGCCCCAGGCCACAGGCAGGGCAGCCTCTGAGGGCCGGCTCAGGGAGAGTGGCCGGAGCTTCTGGGCTGGGGCAGGTGGACCTGTTATAAACTGCATGTGTTGCCTCTGGCAGCAGCCATAGCAAGAGATTCTCTTCCTATCACACAGGGAACAAACTCAAGGATCTTGACCCTGCCCTCCTCTCCCCAGCTGGCCGCACTCGGGGATGCTGATGCCACAAATAAAATAATAAACCAAAACAAGATAACTCTACTGGGCGGCGGGAACAGAAATGAACATGTAGCAATCAGTCATCTTCATCCCGCAAGCAAGCGAGGCGACGCCGTGGAAAGGACGGCCTTCTTTGCTACAAATAGCCAGAAGTGAACTTGGCAAAGGAAGCGCGGGGCGCACGGGAAAAAAAGTGCTCCAAGGGACGGACAGGACGGTGCCGGGGTAAGGAAAGCACAACGCTGTTTAGACAGTCTCCAATATATGAATTGCAAGCCCAGTTAAAAATATCAAAAGGGCTTTTTTAGGTTTTTAAGACTATTTTTTAAAGTCTAGTTGTATTAAAAAATAAGCAAGATAACCAGAAAAAAGACTGAGGAGGGCATAGGAGACCCACCCGCGTGCATGAGGCCAAGTCTAAAGCTGTGGCCACGGCCTGTGGAAAACCCGGCAGAAATCTCCCAAATACCCAGCACGTGAGGATGGAGGCAGGCGAGGCACCGGGGACGCGAGGACGGAGGCAGGCGAGGCACCGGGGACGCGAGGACGGAGGCAGGCGAGGCACCGGGGACGCGAGGACGGAGGCAGGCGAGGCACCGGGGACGCGAGGACGGAGGCCGGCGAGGCACCGGGGATCTGAGGACGGAGGCAGGCGAGGCACCGGGGACGCGAGGACGGAGGCAGGCGAGGCACCGGGGACGCGAGGACGGAGGCAGGCGAGGCACCGGGGACGCGAGGACGGAGGCCGGCGAGGCACCGGGGATCTGAGGACGGAGGCAGGCGAGGCACCGGGGACGCGAGGACGGAGGCCGGCGAGGCACCGGGGACGCGAGGACGGAGGCAGGCGAGGCACCGGGGACGCGAGGACGGAGGCAGGCGAGGCACCGGGGACGTGAGGACGGAGGCAGGCGAGGCACCGGGGATCTGAGGATGGAGGCAGGCGAGGCACCGGGGATCTGAGGATGGAGGCAGGCGAGGCACCGGGGATCTGAGGATGGAGGCAGGCGAGGCACCGGGGACGAGACAGACTTCAAACGTGTGGTGCTGGGGCAGGAACTGTGCCTGCAGTCTACATCCCCACCTCGTCTATCACGTCAAAAGAAATTACAGGCGGATCACAGATGAAAACACCTAATAGCAGATAACGGCTTTGTCATCTTGGGGAGAAGCCTAAAGCCCAGGAACTAAGAGAATATAACAAGTGTGAAAATAGAATTTAAAAGAAGAGACTGGTTTAGCAATCACTAAGATAAACCATGTGTGGCAGGATCTGCTTGTCTCCTCCGAGCGCACAGCAGCCTCTGCCTCATATGCAGACTTTGGGCCCTACGTGGCACCAGGCTACTGTGTGTGGCTGCAGGTCAGGGCGGGCTGGGCCACACGGCAGGGCCACCCTCCCAATCCCATGTTTACACTGAGCATTTCCTCTGTCTGTGGCTCCTGGGCTGGGGTCTGTGATCCAAGTCTGGGAGGCCTCGAGACGCCCATGGACAGCTCATGGGGCTTGGGGAGTGGGACTGAGCCACCTCTGACTCCTTCTGCCGACTGGGATCCGGTTCCAAAACCACGCCTGGGAAGAGACTCCTGCCTCTCCCAGGACGACTCTGTACTGCCACGCCTCCATTCTCAGTGCCCATAGGGACGCACCAAGGTGGCCTTTCATCTAAAACCAGACACAGGTGATGCCAGGGGACCACAGACCCAGTGCGAGGGGAGCTGTGTGGGTTGTGCCGCAGGTATGTTAAAATTCATACAGGACACCCAAAATAATCAATCTTATTCTATGATAATTTTAAAATAATAAAAAAGACTTGTGGCAAGCTGAAAAAATGCTTGATAACTTTACTACCAATGGCTAATTTGCAAACGCCTACACATTGAGAAAAATGGGCAAAAAATATAAACAACAGTTTACAGGAAAAGAAATACAGCTTTTAAACCTAGGAAGTACAGCTTTACTCATTAGTTAAAAAACAAAACAAAACAAAAACCTGAAATGACTGATGTCATTTCTCACCTGTTACATTGGAAGAGATCAAAAGTTTAAAAAAGCCGTTCATTCTCCCCTGCAGGGGCGGCGGCTGAGGCCGGCTCTGGGATAATTTGGCAGTATCTGTATCCAAAGGAAACAGGAGGACTGCCTCTGCAATTCCATCCTTGGGAACGCATCCCGCAGACGCACTCAGACGTGTGGGAAGCGACAGGTGCACGAGGATGTCTCGCCAGTTTTGTTTATAACGATGGAAATTGGAAATAAACTGGACGTCAGCCAACACGCCTGGGCTAAGCCCGCGTGATGGCACCGGCTGGAAATGCCAGCGTGAAGGGGAGACAGACGCGATGAGAGGGTCTCCTGCGCAGACAGAGTCGCAGAGGCACGGGACAGACCGCGTGTGCTAAGCTGCCATGCACGTGAAGAGTGGAAGGCCGCTCACGCATGTTTACATGTCTAAGCACAAGATTCTTGGAACTGTAACTACAGTGGTGTCTGACTCAGAGGCGGGCACGGGTTTCCACATCACACCCTGTGAAGTGTTTACATTTTGTTCCATGTGCATTTATTGCCTATTGCTAAAAACGTCAAAATTTACTTGTTTAGAAAAGAAAGTTTGGTGAAAAGGGAGCAGGCCTCAGGAAGAGACCACAGCTCCTTGAAAAACAGAACTTGGACATAGGAAGGGGAACATCACACACCGGGGCGTGTCGTGGAGTGGGGGGAGGGGGGAGGGACTGCATTAGGAGATATACCTAATGTAAATGATGAGTTAATGGGTGCAGCACACCAACATGTCACATGTATACATATGTAGCAAACCTGCACGTTGTGCACATGTACCCTAGAACTTAAAGTATAATGAAAAATTTTTAAAAAATAAAAAAATAAAACAAGAAAAAAAGAGAAAGGAATCTGATAATCAAATCTAAAAAAAAAAAACAAAACCAGAACTATTCAGGGCCCTCCACAAACCACAGCCAAGCCTAAAGTCATCCAAAGCCACAGTGCTCCCAGGAAAGGAGGCTGACTTACTCTGCACGCAGGTGGCGAAGCCTGGGTTTTTGGCATACGGAGACCCATACTTGTCGATGCAGCCTGCAGGAAGAAAGGGAATGGATGTCAGTCATCCTTACGACACCGGACGGACTGCAGAGCCTCTGCTTCCGAGAAGCTCTGGAGAGGCAGCTGCTCTCCTTACCTGGGGCGCTATCATCCTCCAGACACAATGCCGCTTAGCTTGTGTTCATACAAAACATTTTAGCTCCAACCCCGACAAACAGGAAACCGCCTCCAGCAACTCAGAGGAGCTGGACACCCACACCTGTCAAGTGCTTAAAGCACCGCCCGCAGTTTCGAGGGGGTTCCTCCCGCCGTACGGGAGAATCACCGGGAGTGTTCACTAAGTTTCCTGATAGTACTCAGAAAGCTAAACTTCATTTTGAAGTTGACCCCTGTTGGGAAATGCTGTCCTTAACTGGAAAGCCACTCTGCTTTGGAGAAAGCCCCTGTGTGCTCTCTGGCTGGCTGGACACGGCTTGACAGTGGACATCCCGATAGGGCGGCCAGGGGGAGGTGAGGCCTGGCATATGCACATCCAGGGATGGCCCGAGACAAGACTGTGCAGAACGGTGCGGGCCCTCTCGACCTGGCCCTTCGGTGGGTTACTGTTGCTTATGCAGGTGCAGAAAGGCATGGACACACAGCGGAAGGCCTCCTGAGGGGGTGCCGTGGACAGCTGGCCATCCCCTGCTTCAGAACTCAGTCCCAGCACACCCAGGCTGGCGCCTGTACTTTCTGGGCCAGTTCCAGATCCACTGTGTGTGTTCCAGATATGGACCCGGGGAAGGACCCTTTACGAGGACATTTACTAAAATGCACTTTGCAACATTAAAAAGGAAGACCCTGGAATACATTTCTCTCCTTCTACGTGAAATGCACTCAAGGAGCTCTGAGACGGTGTCAGTCAAACAGGCTGACCCGGGGTCTCTGGGCTTCCCTTTCTTGCTGTCCTCCCTTCTCAAGTGTACACTGGGGGTCTCCGGAGGCCGCCCCGCATGCACCAGCTGCTCTGATGGCTGAGATAACGTCTGTGCATTCCTGTTCTTCAAATTAAACAGAAACACTATTCAGTGTTCTTGGTTTTAATTAAGAATACGGTAAATATCAGTCCGTACAGCCCACATGAACATGGACCCCTCTGGGGTCCTCAGTGACTTCAGAAGTGTTTAGTGCTGAGATCAGAAAACTGGAAGACAAAGTCCATTACATGTCCTGACATGGAGCTGAGCCTGGCGTCAACTCAGAGAAGGGGTTTGCAGATAACGGCATTCGCCTGAGGTTCACTAACACGGAATAAAGCTGTGGTATAAAATAAACAGAGAATCTTGTGTTTCTGACCTGCATGTTCTGGACAGTTCCACATGCACTGTGTGATTAAGAATCTTCCTTCCAAGAGTTACGTGGTGAGGAGATGCCTCCAGCATGAAACACGTACCCCCCAACTATGCCTCTACGACAACCAGGGTAGAGAAGTGATTGAGACTTACCTAAGTATCTCGGGTAAAAATAGTCCTGTGGAAAAAGAAAGAGAAAAGGCAAGCGTTGACTGGCACGCTACGAGGGTCTCTAAGCAACATAAGCATCCGCCGGTTAATCAGAGGCTGCTCCACGGTGGCCGGAGGCCACCCCACCCAGGGAACCGAGGGGAAGTGACCCGGGAAGCTGCCGTGCTGCCGACTTGGCTCCTGCAGACGGGTGCTTACGAAGCCATTAGCACGACTGCTGTGAGACCAACAAGCAAAGGCAGGGCCATTTCCAGCTGCGTAGGAAGCACCACCCAGTGTGTCCAGCGGAGAGGCCTGTCCAGGAGAACGAGAACGCCTCCAAGTAAAACTCCAATCTTAGTTCCCTGTTGACATCAGGGTCTCTAGAACCCAAAGACCTCAGTTCCCTGTTGACACAAAGGTCTCTCAAAACCCCAAAGACCTTTCGTTTGGCACACGGGCATTGATTTGCACTCATTGTATTGGTGAAACAAAACTGGTATTGGATGAGGCACGGAGGCTGTAACGAAGGGTCTTCTGATCCACGAAAGCACGCCGACGAGGTCCACAATCGACACAAGTGAGCTGCCGAGTCCTGGAACCACCTGCCCGTCACTTGGCCAGCAGAGGCCAGCCAGAAACTTCTTCAGGATCCTTCTGCCATGGCCCAGATTCTAGGGCCACAGCCTGGTTAAAGCAGCCTCCAATCTCCAGCTTAGGGTCAACCATGCCAGCAGTTTGGCCCTGAATGCTCTAAACCAAGAGACCACAGTCATGGCAGAATAGTCCCAGCGGCCTCTCCATGCTGCGTATGAGTCAGCATTTTCACACTATTTTATGAAACCCTCACAAACAACACCCAGGAAGGTCTTTTTAATCCCATTATCAGGAACGAGGAAACCTGGCTTCAGGATGGTGTGGGATTCGCCTGGGGGCGCGAGGTTCAGGATTAGCAGGCACTGGTAGCATTTTGCAGAGTGGCGGGCAGAGGCAGTACCCAGCGCCATGCGCAACGCGCCTCTGGCTTCATGTGCTGGCTCTGCACGGCTTTTCTGCCTCCTTCCCACCTCTTTCCCACACTTGCTGGCCTCGCCACACCTTTTGTGGGAAGAGCCTGGAGGGCCCCATCCCAGCCCTGCCAACACCTTCCTGAGGCCTGCTTGGATGTGTTTTCACAAAGTTGTGTTCCAGGAGAGATGGGATGCTCTTAAAACCTTACTCCCTTAAGAGAAAGGAAGGGTCAGGGTGAGCTGGTGTTCAGCTCATGTGTCTGTTGGAGGGCGGCCGCCCTGGAGGTCAGGAGGGCTGCAGACCTGGAACACACACCCTCATATGCCTGCCCTCATTTCTCTCACTTCCAATTTTAGTCATGGCAAACTCCAGAAAAGGGGTGACCAGCAACACGAGTGAGCCCTGGTGGAGGTCTGGGGCAGCACGGGGCAGCAACAGCTTCCCCGGCTTGGAAGGAGAAGGGAAGTGATGGGGCTTTGTCTCAAAGCGGGAGGCTCTGGCTCTGAAACAAAAGACTTAGGAGGGATGCAAAAGGTGTCCTTTCAGGTTTAGGAAGCCAGGGATTGAAAACAACTAAGAACTAGTGAGCAAACGGCCTAACTAGACACAAATGCTTGCATTACCACAGCTTTACAGCGTGTCCTATATTTCAAAATCAAGACTAGTCATACTACTTAATGTGTAATCTGTATTAATACCAAGTTTTATTGTTGCAAAAAGGCATTATTCATGGAAAAATTATGCCAATCTCCTCTCAGTCAGCCATACCTATGGGAATGGGGTTTCTGAAACCACAGGGTTACAACTCTGGGCAGTGTATCCTAATTTGCATGCTTGATTATTTGAGGCGGTAATGGAGGCAGAAAGCATGTGTCAATTCCACCTGTGATCTAGGGGAAAGACCGTTAAATCCTGAGCAAGAGTAAAGCTTCAACAAATAAACCTAAAAACGCTACACACTCCCAAGAGAAAGAGACACTTCACGTCGTCCTTAGAACATTCTGGCCAAAGAAGTAAGACCCAGAAATGGCTTTGAGTAAAGGCACCCAGATAAGCTCCCTGACCTGCAGAACCAAACACAGAGCACTTTGTTCTCAAAACCCTCCCGCCCCTGTCTGCACTACAAGTTGTTCAGGTGCATAAACCTTGGCCTGAAGCTCTGCATTCACCGACTCTCCAGGGCAGCACCCCCAGGAGTCCCCATGGAGCAGAGGCCACCACTCAGGAGGCCGAGATTTAGAACCAGGAGCTCCTTACATAGACACTGACTCTCTTTCTTCTCGACCTAGGAAGAGCGAGACCTGTGGTAATGGGTTGGTGTGCTGGGGTTAGGTGAGGGCAACAGTGGGAAGAAGCTGGGATTCCCAGGCTGGAAATGGCACCATTTAGCCCCTGGAAATCCTCTCCCTAGGGATCTGATTCTGTTTTATTCGAATAGCTACAGATAAAAATAAGCGAGCAAACCACTGCACTGTCAGCTGAAGCTTCAAGAGGAGAAAGACAACATCTACCTGCCTAGCATCGAGCCTGGTACTGACTGTCCCCCAGAGGCCTCAGGAGCCATCACCAAACACGTGGATGGATGACAGATGAACAGTGGACGAGTGCATGAAAGAATGGATGGGTGAATAAATGAGTGGATGGGCGGAGGGATGCATGAATGAGTAGGTGGATGGATGGATGAGTGAATGGATGAATGAGTGAACAGATGGAAGGATAGATGGATAGATGCATGTATGGACAAATGCACAGATGGATGAATGAATGCATGGATGAGTGAATGGATGGATGAGGGAATGGGTGGATAGATTAGTGAGTAGGATGGATGAGTGAGCAGACAGATGCATGGATGGATGAATGAATGAATGAATGAATGAGTCAGTGGATGAATGAGTGGATGGGAATGAATGAATGGATGAATGAGTGGATAGAGATTGATGAATGAACAAATGAATGAGTGGATGGATGAGTGCGTGGATGAAAGAGTGAACGAGTGGATGGCTGAGTAAATGAATGGAGATGGATGGATAAATGAATGAGATGATAGATGACTGAGTGGGTGAATGAATAAATGAGTAGATAGATGGGTGAGTGGATGGATGGATGGATGAATGAATAAAACAATGAGTGAATAGATGGATGAGTGGGTGGATGAATGAATGAGTGAGTGGGTGGATGAGTGAGTGGGTGGATGAGTGAGTGAATGGATGAAGGAATGAATGAGTGGGTAGATGAATGGATGAGTGAGTGGGTGGATGAGTGGATGGATAGATGAATGAATGAATGTATGGGTGGATGAGAGAGTGGATAGATGAATAAATGAATGAAAGAATAGGTGGGCGAATGAGTGGGTGGGCGAATGGATGAGTGAATGGGTGGATGTGTGTGTGGATAGATGAGTGAATGAATGAGTGGGTGGATGGGTGACTGGATGGATGGAGATGGATGAATAAATGAAGGAAGGAGTGAATGGATGGATGAGCGAGTGGCCGGATAGTTGAATGAATGGGTGGCTGGATGGATAGATGGATGAGCGAGCGAGTGGATGGATAGCTGAATGAACGGGTGGGTGGATGGGTGACTGGATGGATGGAGATGGATGAATAAATGAAGGAAGGAGTGGATGAGTGGACGAGTGAGTGGATAGATGAATGAATGAATGAGTGGGTGGATGGGTGAATGAATGAATGAGTGGGTGGATGAGTGAATGAATGAATGAGTGGGTGGATGGGTGGATGGGTGAATGAATGAATGAATGAGTGGGTGGATGGGTGGATG